AGCATACAAAGAGATTGAATGATGATCTCATATATCGAGCAGCATCGGGGCATGGTTTCTGTCACATTAGACTTTTGAAATATCGCATGTGTATTTTGCGTAATGAAACTCTCGTATAGAATGTTGCGTCATGCATCTGCGACTGTTTCTGCACATGAGAGATGCCATCCAGGATGTGATGAAATCGTGTTTTTTTAATAAAGAACATTATTAGGATATTTGTGTAAATAGTGATACATAAAATAGTTTGTAGAAACGTAATTAAAATCAGTTGCTTTACGTGCCACTAGGAACATGATACCAATTATGTCGTAACTCAAAAATGGTGGAATTGATAAAACAAGATTTGAATGTTCAAAAAATTATGAAATGTATCTTATTGGGAATAATATTGGAACAATAGGATTTTTTGTCTTGGTAAGGATAATATTTAGTAATCCACTTTTAAACGAGAATATAAATTTATGGTTCCATTCAGTATTTTTTTGAACTTTCAAATAGAGCCTTCTCAATTTCACCATTTTGAATTAAGACAGTACGTAGGTACCTACTACTTGGTTTCATGTGCGATTTATATTTTAGTTGAAATTCAAAGGTTGTGTGGTAGTCCCAAAAAGGTAGCCCAGATTCCTTCTTATCTGCTAAAGGTTATCAAGTTTTTGTCCTCAGCGTGTTGTAGTATCTGTTATATAGTAATTTCAAGTATACCTAGTAGGTATAACTACCTACGTATACTTATTATACAACATCAACACGACAAACGTTAAACGATTTATTAATAAACTTTGACCATTTATGAACATTTCTTAACGTTCAGTTAAATATCAATAAAATGGTCGAAAACAAATTATTGTACACATAGATATGTACTTTCGTATTTCAGTAGAACTGACAGTCGGTGTTATGTTTAGCCGCCTTTTACGATCGCCGATGAGTTATTAGCCGTCGGCCAGTGACAGCCTGTCTCCGGCAGAGAAATGGAAATAAAAGATAAATGAGAATTCGCACTGCTAATCATTGAATGGCGGCAGTTTAATAGATTTGGAGGTAAGTATTAAAGAAATGGGTCGGCATAGTGTGGTACGGTAGTATTCTGACTAAAAATGTTATCTATATAGTAAAATCTAAAATATAAAAGGTGCAGATAATAATATTAAAATAGTTCACGATCAGTAAATACGTATTTTTTGCATTGGAATTCTGTTTAGAGCAGCCTTTCCCAAAATGGGCGATAACGCCCCCTGTGGACGCTGCAGGCCTAAAGGGACCCAGAAAAAAAATGGGTAGGCTTAGGGCTTAGGGGAGATTTGTCATTTCATCTAGGAAGACTCTTAGGTTCATATTCTAGAACTCTAGTCAATGCTCAAGTCAGGATTTGAGTATGGTTTAAAGCACTCGAAATCATAGTCAAGTCCCTGCCATTAGGGTCGTATTTCCTGTGCTTGAAATCATACTCAGATCCTGACTTGAGCATTGAGTAAATACTCAAGTCAGGACTTGAGTATTGACGAATACGATCCCTAGGGTCGTATTCTAGATTTGAATAGACTTAAGTATGATTTCAAGCACTGGAAATACGACCCTAATGGCAAGGACTTGAGTATGATTTTCAATGCTCACTGCAATACTCGAGTCGACGAGTCCTGACTTGAGTATTGAGTAGAGTTCTGGACTACGACCTTGTGACTACGACTGAGCTCTCGACTCTCGACCACAACTTGTGAACATCAAATAATATTAATTAAGAGATTGCTCAAACTAACTCGGTTCGATATTTCTCTCCGTGTAGTTCATATATCTGTCCTGTTTTATTGAATAAATAAAATAAAAATCATGTCAATCGGTCGCTCCGTTTCGAAATGAAAGTAGACACTGTTTCGCATGTTAATAGTTATTAGTATCCCAAGATAGGTAATTTTCGTAGATTATAGACCGCGGCAATAATGTTTTAACAAGTTTTTTTTGTGGATTTGTGGATTCCTGTATCAATCGGCTGGTTCATAGAATACTTGTTGTTACTTGTTGAGTACGATTGCGCGTCGAATGAGATAAACGAGTTTATGCATGTTTTTTTATTATTCTGGTCGGTGCGTGCTGCTTATGCAATCCTATATACACAATAATATAATATTTATTTTATTTTTATTTGCAGTTTCGCGTAATAGATAAGCAGTAGGTACTTGAGTTCAACACTTACGTATTTCTCAAAACAAAACGATGTCGGAAAAAAGAAGAGACGTCAATACTGTGCGGAATATATTAAATTCGGATTCATTGAAAATCCCACAAACTCATCGTCGCCTTTGTGCCTTCTATGTCTAAAAACATTTTCGAATGAAGCAGTTAAGCCTTCAAGACTGCAAGATCATTTGAATAAAATGCCTCCAGATAAGAAAGACAAGAATGTAACATATTTTCAAGACCTAGAGAAGAATCATAATACTAAGAAAAGTGTAGCAAAACTTTTTTCGGCGGCTGCTAAGCAAGATGACGACGGACTTCGAGCTTCGTACAATATCTCTTTGTTAATTGCCCAAAAAGGCAAACCACACACTATCGGAGAAGAGTTAATTTTGCCAGCAGTAAAGGAAGTAATAACTACTGTGCTTCATAAACCGGCCGCAGATATTATACGAAAAATTCCTTTGAGTAATAATTCTGTGCAAAGACGAATTGATGAAATGGCTGAAAACATTGAAGTATCATTGTGCAATCATCTGAGGATTAGTCAATTCTCAATCCAGTCGATGAGTCCAATTTACCAACTAATGAAGCATTGTTGCTGACTTACGTGAGGTTTATTAAAGATGAGAAAATATGTAAAGAAGTATTGTTTGCTAGAAATTTAGAGACCGATAAAAAAGGAGAAACCATATTCAATGCATTGGAAAAGTTTTGTGATGAGAAAGAGATTACCTTGAAAAATATTATATCAGTTGCTATATACGGATGGCACTCCGGCTATGACAGGGTGCCATAAAGGCTTCATAGTGTACTTAAAAAATAAAATTCCAGATGTCCTTGCTGTACATTGCGTTATTCATAGACAACATTTGGTTGTTAGAAATTTAAGTGAACGACTATTTCAATCACTGCAATATGTCATCAAAGCAGTCAATAAAATTCGTAACAGCTCTTTGAATGATAGATTATTTCGTCAGCTTTGTGTTACTAATGACGAAGATTTCAACCGTTTGTTGTTAACCGACTTCAAAAAAGGAGGAGGTTCTCAATTCGACTGTATTTTTTTTGTATGTATGTTACGCGATAACTCCGGTATTTGTGAACCGATTTTAATGATTCTTTTTTGTTGAAAACGGGGTACTTCCATAGTGGTTCCATTTCTTTTTGAAGAAAATTATCCACCTTTAAGGGTGGCTGTTCACGCATGAAGATTTATTATTATAAATAGCGCCTAACTTTAATTTAGGAGCAATTACTTTAATGGTTGATTTTGCTATTTCCCCAATTCTAGGCGTTTTTCTCTCTATATACTTTGAGTAGTGAAAACCGATTATTATTATCTCCAGTGTCAAGTCCTGTATAGTGACGAACTAGGGGATATTTCAATAAAACTTAGCAAATAGACGTAATTCCACGTACTTCTGAGGTCGGTTTTTTTAGTACTCTGTACTGATTATTTCATACTGAAGTTCCTTAGCTATCAAGAGGCAATTGTCTGACTCGATTTTACAACCTGTTTGGCTCTGTGCTAGAGTTCTTGGAAACTAAAGATACAGAATTGCGCAACAAGCTCATTACATCAAAGAATGAGATAGGTTACATGAAAGACCTGTATAAATTGTTCAACGACATGAATCTCCAACTGCAAGGCGATGAACTAAATTTAATTAAAACAAAAGATGTCGTTGCTGCTTTCGCAGCCAAACTGCTTCTACACAAAAAGAATATGGGCAGACGTGAGTTTCACAAATTTCCGAATTTATCAGTATCCTGCAGTAACGACGACTTGTTTGCCTACTGCCAACATTTGGAAAACCTCCACATTGACTTCACCGAACGATACCAAGACATTTTGAACTTGGAAATACCAGACTGGGTGTTGGATCCATTTTCAAATGTCAACAGCACATCAATATCACCTCAACTGGAAGAACTTATTGAATTGACAACGAACGAGGAAATAAAAATTAAGTTCAAAAATGGCTAGGTACCAAGAATTTTGGCTACAAAAACCGATCCCGCAATTGTACCCTGGATTGTGGTCAATCGTTCAACGATTCTTGATAGCATTCCTATCGTCATATTTGTGTGCACGTGGTTTTAGTGCTGGGACAACCCTGCTTACTAAAACGAGAAATCGTTTGCATGTTACCGAATGGGTGGACTTGCGGCTGTTCTTGAGTAAATTGGAGCCTGATATCAACAAACTTATTAAACAGCATCAGATTCATCCTTCACAATAGTTTTTATATTAGAATCGATTATGTTTGTTTTATTTTGAATAAAATACTCTGTCTGAATACTATAAACTTGCGTTTCAATAATCATTCTCATTGGTAGGTGCAGCCCGTAAGAGTTGAGTTGAAACTTGAGACCTGAGTGCCGTTGTGTACTACCTACTCCGCTCAGGTCTCATGTTAACTTGCGGGTTATAGTAAAACTCTCGTTTAGAATGAATGTTTAATCTCCGCTAATATAGCTCACAATAATTAATTTAATTTGAAGTTATAGCGGTTTTTAAGTAGGTGAAAAAATGGGAGCGCCAAAAAATAATTTATTCTCAAAGTGGGCAGTAGACAAAATTGGTTGGGGAACTCCTGGTTCAGAGTAATCATATTATCACGAAGTACTTTGAATATAATATGGAAACGAGAGTTTACTGCTGCTGCCATCTGTTTTGAAAGTTATGAATTAACTCATGTGTAACCATGTTAAAGGCATAGCTTGTCTATTGACCCAATGGCATTTAACTGTCACTTTGAATTGAATTTTGACATTAGCAGCATATTCGCAAATAAACTACAAAGAATGCGCCTGCGCGCCTTCGAGTACTTTTTGTTTTTCTTCAGTTTCTTGAATTAAAATCCGTGTAGTGAATTAAAAAATGGAAGGTGGAGAATCATTTTTATCTTGTGCTGCAACAGTGGAGTGGATGACCCCACAAGGGTGCATCATCAGAAAGGTTAATTACAAAACAGCGTCTCTACGTTTAATCCGAAATGAATTTCGAGAAATGTTCATGGAAATATCGAGCGAGAAGTCTGCTGCACTTAGACTAGCGCTGAAAGGTATAAATGTATTTAAAAAGTTCATGGCTGAAGGCAAAGCCAGTGTCAAATTTCAAGAAGCAGGATGCACTATATTCATATCAAATGCACCGCCGACTAACCTCGTGGGATTTCTCCGTACGATATTTGTTAAAATGACTGGTGATAAAGAAGTTAGTGCCAATACAGCACCTTCCGCGCAAAGCATGAGAGCGAAATTGCTTAGTGGTAAATCTCAATCATTTGAGGAAATTAGTCCAGTTACTGTAGCAGATATACACAATGCCAAGAAAAAAATCAGTAAATCCACAATAACTACACCATCTCCACCATCAAAGAAGCGAAAATCTGAAGATTTGGGTAAAGGGCCTGCCCCTAAGAAACTGTATTCACCATCTCCTTTGACTACTACCAGTTCTTTAAGCGCTGAGCAGCAGCGAGTGTTAGAAGCATGTTTGAGTGGAAAAAATATATTCTTTACCGGGTCTGCTGGAACAGGGAAGAGTTTTCTGTTGAAGAGAATTGTAGCAGCATTGCCTCCTGATGTTACTGTGCCTACTGCATCAACTGGAGTTGCTGCTTGCCACATAGGTAAGTAAAAATCTCATTATCAGTTGTTTTCTTTAATGTGATAGAAAGATCAAACAAAATATTTTATAAAATTGCAGGAGGAACAACACTACATGCATTTGCAGGTATTGGAGATGGGAGTGGATCGGTGCAAAATCTTTGTGATAAGGCTTTGAAGTTTCCTTTAGTGGCTCAAAAGTGGAGGAAGTGTAAACACCTCATTATTGATGAGATATCTATGGTTGACGGCAGTTACTTTGAGGTATATTGTTCCTGTTTATTATAATATATTGTATATAGGTGTATTGGTTTACACATATCAAGTAACAAAGTAATCAACTATGCTGTTATGTAATCATCGACTTAGTGGATATGTAAACTAGAATCAAAACTACTTTTTGATAAAGTACAACCTTCCACACCCAACACATTCCCCAATAGGTGTGGTTTGAAGTTTGAAGCGGGGTTGTTGCTGATTCAGGTTTACACGTAAGTGGATGCTGATTTTAGGTTTTAAAAAACACACAATAAATGTACATCTTTTTGAATATGTTGAATATGTGTACATAAAAAATCTATCTATTTTCTTTGATATTGTAATAAAATATAATTTCAATGATTTTGTGACATTTATTAACAAAATAATGTTCATGAAAACAATCAATTTGCCTACCATAATCATTGTGGAATTTTGTCTAAGTTATATTTTAAAAACAACAGCTGAGCAGCTTTTTCGGGTTACAGTCTGTTTTTGGAAAATTTGTATTTTTCCAGCGTGCCTTTTTGTCATGTCACGACTTGAACATGGATGCTGCTTAGTGATGAAAGAAACCCAGTCTTTAAAGGCCTTTTATAAAACCTCGACTCTTTTTTAACGCTTCACGACTAGTCTAGTCTTTTAACCCTCAAGTCTTGAGTCATAAGACTAAAACTCAAGACTAATTCGAGTCAAAGTCTTTTAACCCTAGGAAGCTTAAGACTTTTAGGACTTATAGAATTAAAAGGACTGGCGCCTTATAGCCTCGGGAGTCGCGAGTCATGAGCCGTATGGCGTGATTTTATTTCTACCCACATGATATTTATTTACGATTGATGGATAAGGTTAACATAGCTTCGTTCAAAGAAGTCAGTTAGTTAACTAATTAAATAAATATGATTATTTACTACATACTTCGTCATTTTTATTTATAAACTTCGGGCTTAATAGGACATAAAATAGGTATAAGTCCATTGCAAACAACTCGAGTAGTTTAGGTTGTTCAAGTTGTTTAAGTCATATAAGTCTTTTAGTATAATGACAAAAATTCGAACCTCCAGTCTTAAATTTTAGAGTCGAGTAATGAAAGTCATATAAAACACCTTAAACAACTGAGTCTCTTTCATCACTAATGCTGCTATTCGCAACTACCTTGGTTTGAAGCATCCAGTTGGCTAATGTTTTGTTTGCAAAATGTCAAAGTACTTATAGCTTCACTAAAACATGGGTAAATGTTAGACTAGGTACTTAATTAGTTAAAATTCAATCAATTTCTTAATATTTGTAAACTAGCCAATAAAGGAACTTAAATGTGACTAAATTCTAATTCTTTGGTTTCAGAAATTGGAAACAGTTGCAAGGCATGTTAGAAAAAATGATAAACCATTTGGTGGGATTCAATTGATACTTTGTGGTGATTTCTTGCAATTACCACCAGTTGTTGAAAAAGGAAAAAATGGAAAAAGATTCTGTTTCCAATCACCATGTTGGGATAGATGTATTGAGCTTTGCTTTGAATTGAAGGAAGTCCACAGACAAAAAGACTCTGAATTCGTGTCAATACTTAATAGTATTAGAATTGGACGAGTTACAAAAGAAATAAGTGACAGATTAACACTAACAGCTAAACAAAAAATTGAAGGTGATGGGATCTTGGCTACAAGACTTTGCTCACACACAAATGACTCTAAATTGATTAATGAATCAAAATTAAGAAACCTAGATGGAGAAGAAAAGGTGTTTTCTTCGCAAGATAGCGATAATGCTGCAAAGACTTTAGACATGCAGACCATCGCTCCAGCTAAACTAGTACTCAAGATAGGTGCTCAAGTGATGTTACTAAAAAATGTAAATGTCAATGCAGGTTTGGTAAACGGAGCTAGAGGAGTTGTAGTTAGATTTGAGGAAGGTTTACCAGTTGTAAGATTTAAAAATAAGAAAGAATACACAGCAAAAACAGAGCGATGGTACGTCAAAAACTCAAATGGAACATTACTGTGTCGTAGACAAGTTCCTTTGAATTTGGCATGGGCATTTTCTATTCATAAATCTCAAGGTTTGACATTAGATTGTGTGGAAATGTCTTTGTCTAAAATTTTTGAGGCTGGGCAAGCTTATGTGGCTTTAAGTAGAGCCCACAGCTTAAATACATTGAGAGTACTTGATTTTGATTCAAGGCATGTCTGGGCTGATCCTAGTGTTCTGGAATTCTATCAAAAGTTCAGACGACGTTTACAACATATGGAAATTATTCCTTTAGGTAGACCTTTAGCCGACAAAACAAATAAGAAATTAAAATTAAGAGAGATATTAAAAAAACAATTACGTTGAAAATGAAGAAATTCACATTTTCATGACATAAATAATTTAGTTAATTAATAATTATAGCTTAATTGTATGTTTTTGTAATATCTTTGCATATTATAACAATCATGTTATTTAAGACTGTACTTAGGTTTAAGAGAACTTTAATTATTTAACAAAAATACTAATTATTTATGCAAGCTTATATATTTAATAAAAAAAAGTAATCCAAGTTCATAAACATACTCATTGTTTTCTTGGCTTATTAAAATTTAAATTCCAACCTAAACTTAGAATACACTTAATAGTCCATTGCACTTATCTGGACTCAACTGCTGTTAGGATTTCAATTTGCTCTTCAAGTGTGGCATGTTTCTCTTGCAAACATTTGACAATATATTTGTAACTTTCAATACTTTGCTCCATTTCCTTTTTAGAAGTTCGAATATCCTCCAAGTTTTTCTGTAACACTTCTACATGTTTTTTATTCTGCATAACAACTTGCTTCAGTCTTGTAATCAAGTGGTCTTGTTTTTTAATTAACAGCATTAGCTGAGCTTCAACTGGTGTGTCCGGAATACATTGTAGATTGTCACCAACACAATCAGAGAAGTTGTCAGGAATTTTGATCATCCTCATAGTGTTTCTGATGTCGTCAGTTATTTCTGCTTGTGTTAATGTGTTGAGCATTCTATCTATTTTGTCTCTAGGTGAATTTTCTGCTACCTGTACAAAATAAAATTTTGTGCTTATTCAGGGGAACACCCCTTAGGTTGAATCCCTTTATATTAAATCTGGAAGACGACTGTTCTGCATGGTGTTTACACTACCTGATTACTTTATGTTGATGTTGGCATAAAAAAAAATTTAAAAGCACTGCAATGCTTAAATTAATTTTATTTAGCATTGCAGTTATAATTAGCTCAGTCAGTCAATATATATATATATATAAAAGCAAGACATATACTCAATGTAGTGATAACAAAAGTAAGATATGGGTAATGAATACAGGGACTCAATATTCCATATTCAATCCTGGTTTTGTTAAATAGGTAAATATTAGAAAAACACTAGACAGATGATAGAATAACAGTACTTGGTAACAAATGTCAAAACTTACCTTGGTGACCTTTTTGGTGGTACTAGAACTAGAAGAGCCAGGAAACAATGTTGGTATGGCAGTCTCTTTTAACTTCCTCTGGTGGTCAAAGTGTTTATTTTCAAAGTGTTTTGAACAAATCTTGCTCCTCAACCAATCCACTGACGCGCACTTACTTCGTAGAATCACCAACCACTTGTTTCGCATGTCAACTGAGGTTGGAAATCTGCACAGAAGTTTGAGATTTTAAAGTTTTATGTGAGTTCAAATAATTGTGACCATATAAACTCATCATAGAATGTAATAATACAAATAATATAAATGTAAAAGTACAGTTTAAAAATCGTATGAAATTTACATGAATTGCACACATATATTTACAATGAATGGGTGTCAAAATCCATATACCAATTAACATTTAAAAACACATGATACAAAACAGTGTACACCAAAAAGTCAATAAAGCCACAAGATCTGTATGCCTAAGAACTTGTCAAAACAAATTAGTGAGCCTGTAAGTAATTGAGGAGATAGGGCAGTTTTTTATGATACCAAGTGGCGGGATGAACAAGTTGCGCCTATCATAACAGTTGCAGTGCCATTCAGATCTTTAAATCGCAAAGATCTTATGGGCATTGCCATTGTGCCCATTACTCTTGACATAAGTTGACAAGTCCCATGTGCCTGTAATTTTACTAGCACCCTTACCCTTCTAAACCGGAAGTCAGTAATGCTCACATTATTGCTTGGCGGCAGAAATAGGTAAGGTGTCAGTCCTTCCCTGGACGAACTCTTTCCCAAGGAGCGCTACTGCTACTAAAGCAGTCGGCAGATTGTCCTGCTTGCAGCATCAGATCAAGGTTACCACAGTACTGTGATGTCATGGTATTTTCATAGAATATCAAATTTCACATACAGACACACACGCATTTTTTTGCATCGGAGTTAAAAACACGTACGAGTAAAACTTACTGATGAAGTAAAGTCGAGAGGCCTTTGTTGAAAACTGTAGTTTTGCAGCCTTGTACGGCACAGTGAGTTTGGACGAATTTTATTTCCGACATTTTGTTTTGAACTTACAATGGAAGCTATGAGGTATATCAATCGTTTTATAAACAAATATTTAACTTCCGACCTAAGACGCGGCAAACAAAACAAATAGAAATATCCACAATCCGAAATGTCAATGTCACGATGACAGAAGAAAGATTGCTACCACCGTTGGGTAATTTTCCGAAATAGGTATTTCAAATGGTGAATTAATGTATGATATAATATGACCTTTTGAAGTTTTATTTAGCGTGAATTATAAAATAAAATTACATAGAATAAAAGCAAGTTACAGTAAAACGATTTAAAAAATTATTTGACAACAACGGAAAAATCATATAAAAACTTAGAGGTTGGAAAAAAAATAAAAGAAAGGAGGTGCCCTAACTACGGAATGAACATACCTAAGCAAAAATTGAACGAACAAATGGCGGATTCTTTAGTGTCGACCATATCCTAATTTTTATTAAAACTTCATTGTTCTCACTGTCAATATTTTTTACAATACATGTATTGACTTACAAATAAATGGACGACGGGTCTAAGACAAAAACCACGAAAAAAATGTCACAAGTCAACCTATTTAAACGTAGTGACATGTAAAGAAATATGAAAAAGCTAAAACGTTGAATTTAAATTGTAATGTCGCGCAGTACACGCGGACCCGACGACGTCCATTCAACGTCTCTTAATAGCAAATGAACTAGGTAGGTACCTAACTGATAGAAAATGAGTAATGACTCCTGCCGCTCATGACTATTTAAAAACCTAGGTAAATAATAATAATAAATCATTTATTTGGACATCTATGGCCCACTTGTTAATAATACAAAAAGATACAGAACATTTAAACTTAAAGCTATTATTAGTAGGTACAATTTACGGGACAATACATTGACCAACACAAGAAACACGTATATGCAACTTACCGCTCGAGGCGCCGATAACCTGATGATCTCACCAGAACCTGGATAAAATGTTGAAGCATCGGCGCATCAAGCTTAGCCGCAAACATTTTCAGTACGCTGTTAGGACTAGAACGCAGCCTCGAGAGTAGTGACGCCTTTTTGTTTCGCATCACAGCAAAAAAAGTCATCTACTCCCGCTAGAGCAAACATCGAGGATGCGCTACAATGCCGTAGTAGTCCCATCAGCATTCTGAAACCGTTATTATATTGAACACGCAGGGCGCTGAGTACCTTCTGCGTATAGTTCACCCACAGACCACCCGTGTAGAAGGATTGACAGTATGCCTTGAATAATGTAATTTTGGCTTCCTCACTACAACGGGCAAATCTGTGTGCCAACATGTTACATCTGGCAGCCAACGCCCTACGTTCTCGATCAATATCAATTAGATCTTTGAGATCATCCGTCAGGTAATGTCCTAGATATTTAAATTTATCTACCCTTTTCAGGGGCAAACCGTTCAGACTTATCTTTGGTTCGTAGGACATTCCCTTACCGGGGAGCCCAAAGATCAAAAACTCGCTCTTGGCACAGTTGTACACAAGGCCGTGAGAACTTATGTACTGTTCACAAGTTCGAAGCAACTCCGCAATTGAGCCCGCCGTTGGACCCAGGAGCACCATATCGTCGGCATAGTTTAAATTAAAATTCTTTTTGCCAATCTACAACTACAAGTAGGTGTGTACATTAATAACACAACAGAAAATATTTAAAGAGGCTGTCCTAGGCCCGAGGTGCCGCAGATTCGCCTTTGGTCTTCACATGTCACTGGTCGTAATACAATTATACGACAAGATTACGTAGTTTATTTTATTTACGCCCGTTGTACCTACCCAAACGTTTTATCTTGTTTATCGTGCATCTCAGATTTGTAAAAAAAACACAAAATTGCACCCATTAATATGCTATAATTTTAGCACCACATTAACACAAGGACATATGAATTATTCCTACCATTAGGGGCATGAGGAATAAGCCAAAATAACTAAGTGACAGGACTGTGCGCCTGGTGGTAAGCACACGCCTGTCCATTATTTAAACCGCGCCTAAGTGATAAATAGTGTAATATCCGTTTGAAATAGCTAAAGAAGAGCACAAAATTCTCTTAAAAACAGTTAAAATTAGTTAACGTGTTCTACTTATCCCTGGAACTTCCCCTAGCGATGCTTAGCTGAAATATCATTAAACAATTTCAATATTCTAAAACTGGTTTATGGTTTTTTATATATTAAAAAAATATTTTGTCACTTAACTGCGTTTTAGTTAGCGGACAGCAGAACAGTTGCAGTGTCACTCCAGAGCTTTAAATTGCATAGATCTTAGGCGCATTGCCGCTGTGCCCCTCGCCCTGAGACATAAGTTGACAAGTCCCATGTGCCTTTAATTTCATCAAAAATCTTTTGAATAGAAAAGATGCGAAATAATGAAATATTTTGTATTATAATTTTTTATTACAACAGTTATAACAAAGTCAGCCATATACATTTCTCACGTTAAAATAATTAATTACACAAATATTTATTTTAGTTGCCTGCCCAACGAATAAATAATTCAATACATAATATTAGCCTATTAAATTATTTAGGTATAAGCTTTGATAAATAGTTTGATATTCTGTGGTCAATATTTTGAAATAAAGTAGTCCTTCGATTACAGATTTTCAACAGTAATACAGTAACAGTATCAACTTATTGGCAGTAAATAGAAGTAGGTCGTGTTTAACAAATGGCACCAGAAACAGCAAAATTGCGAATTGAGCAATATAATTCGTACCCCTGCAAGCCAACATGGGACTAGAAGTCGAGTATGAGATAAACAAGAAACCTTAACAAAAACACCTTTATAAACTATGACAAGTTTGTTATAAGATTTACCCCAAGTAAGAGCGGTAACATACGGTGACTTAGTAGCGCGACTGCAACAATTCAGTTGCGATGCAGTCTCTAATCGTCTACCTTTCCACACACGCGATACAATCGTGATGCACGTTTTTGATGATTCAACATAAGCGATTGCATCGATGTAACCGCCTATAAATTGCCAGTGTCGTGATGCAATCGCACGTCTATATCGCTGCTAAAAGTCGCCGTGTGTAACCACTCTAAGTGCTATCATTTCTTTATTGATTTTATTATTACGGACTACTGCTCACTCCTTCTTAACCACTTACATGTCCGCACCAAATATCAAAATCAATCAGTAACGCTGATAGCAACAGGTGGTATAAATCTCCAAACATGACTGACTTCTCCTGAACAAGGCTCTATAATGGACGGATGCTCAGTATCTCTTAGCGACGTATCTTCTAACACTGGTTCTGTTGTTGAACATTGAATGTCGATTTTATACTCGCCGGGCGTTAGGAATACAACTGTACATTCGTGATACACTTTCGCTGACTCTGGTAGAGAAGTTAGCACCACTCTGTAAGCACATTTTATTACTTATGTATTAGTGCGTTATTTAGTATAAAGCCGCGTTTCTGTTACACTGATGCTACTGGGCAGTTCTCTGTATGATAGTTTTTCTTAGGTCTGCTCACATAGTTCTTTGTTAGTAGATTGATTTAGAACTTTAGAGTTGCGGATAGAATTGGATTTTCGTATTTTCCTGGCCTAGGCCGGTAAAGAGTTACGTGGTCCGTAAAAAAAACTTTGTTTCTTTCTTGATAAAATAATGCCAATTTGTGTTGAGCATGTTTGATTAATGAGTATTATTTGTAATTCGCATGACATATTACTGTAACATGCGATATTAATCAGGGTAACCGGGCTTCATGCCGTAGCTTACGCATTACAATCCAACAATGAATTGACCCTTAGAAGTATGCTTAGTGTTTTGTATATGACACGTGACCGTAATTATAATAAAAAACAAATTAGCATACTTATTGTTCCCCGCAGTAGCAACTCTATTATCCAGCTTGTAATTCAAAACTCCATTGTTATAATCTTGATAGAATTGCACAGAAAGGCAAAGCTTATGCAGTGGCTGTGTTAAGTGGTTGGCAACAATCACGCCTAAGGACAGGCACTCGCCAGCCGAACAGTTGTACTCCTCTTGCGGTTTGATGCATTGCTTGTTTACGCTTACTTCTGCAATGATAAAATAAATAAGGTTAATTTGTAATAACTTACTGCGTGGTGAATTTCTTCTTATCGTTAAGAAAAGAACACCTTTGTCTTATTTCTTTAATAAATCTGTAATTCGCTTTTTTTAACGATGTTTACTAATATTGCCCAACTTTATGTAGTTATCCTCAAAATAAGTTTTAATTTTAAATTACACGTTGGTTTTCCATGAAGCTTTAAAAACACCACTACAACAAGAGGATGCAACTTATAATCTATGAATGTTTATTTTTTAATAGTAGTAGGATCCTTTTAAATATGTTTTACAGATATACATTACACTGACTCACTTAGGACGCACAGCGTCACATAAGACGTCCAAACCCGTCGAGCTCCCTCTACCAACTGACGCACAGTTGACGGCTATGCCATCATTTGTGCGCGTGAGACAATGTATTATTATATCCACTAAGTCGATACACTACACTAGTGACAGGTTCATGTTAGTACAAAGCCAAGAACACGTGAAGCTTGATTCGTTAAGATTTAAATTCAATTGTATATCGCTTACTATAAGCTAGATACAGATATTTTCCAAATTGTCAATCGTCTACTTGCTGTAAAGTGCAGATGTTGACGTTGATATCCCATACGACATCCAGCTTGTATCGTTCAGGGATAACAGTTTACTTCACTACAACACAGCTTGCAATAATATTATAATACATACCGCTGCTTTTCAAAAACAGTAGCTTCAACCAAAATAGTTCATTTTTTTCGTCTTATTACAGACATGCACTCAGAATGAGCTAAATTTTATTGCAAAAAAAAACTTTTTATTGTTTAAAATAAACATGTGAGAATATGAGCATGTATATAATTCGTCTGCTTTGCATTTTAGATATTCTGCAATTGTTTCTAAACCATCTTACTGATAATTTAGGTGATTTTGTGATAGGCCACTATTCTAGAAAACCATCGATATCTTTTTTAAATAACGTTCAAACTTACCCCAATTCAAAGGCGACATCCTAACAATATCCATCATGGCCTGTGACAATGTGATGCCTTTAACAGATGCTCTACCACGGATGTCAGATTGCATGAGGTGCCATTTCAGATCCACGTTATTAGTAATGTGTTCGGAACACATCAGCTCTAGACTGTTACTTAACGCGCCCGTGCTTGTCGAACGGACGTCGATTGAGTCTGGAAGAACATTAATACGCAATCTAAAAAAAATCACACTAGATATCTCTAGCGGCGACGAATGCCGAAAGATCTATAACAAAACACACATAGGAGAATTTCGACGAATCGGTAACTAGACCCGTGACTCAGATGGTTAGAGCAAAGCTACGGTGTAGCATGGTCGTGGGTTCAAGTCCCACAGGGTCGACGAAATATTTTTTTTTTTGTTGGTTCGATCTTTGTATTCATAATCATTAATTGGCAGTTTTTGGTTTTGTACTTTAATTTTTATAGGCAAATACATATGTAGATTTATACTTCATTTTTAATTGAATGGTTCATATTTTAGCTAGTGGGTATATCCACGATAGCAAAGAACTTAAACAATAATTTGTATAAAGCGACAACATAATATTTGGTTTCTCTTTTAATTGACGCATCCTCTGTACGGATCCTTTGTACGGGCGCAGGCAAGACAAGTACCAACACAACTAATTCTGTTTTGCTCAGTGGTTCATCAAGGTGACCGGTGCTGTATTATATTTTTGAGGCTATCAACGCAAAAGTGGTGTAACCACATGAAATGCGTATTATAGAAGATTATTATTATTATCATTATAGGATTTAAATTTAGCCAAATTCATATTATAAATAGTAATCATGTTTGACCAATACAATTTTTTATACACCAAAATAGCATCCAAATATAGTTATGTACTTTAGTATAATTGAAAGTAATATCGTAGAAAAAAAGCATTTCACCACTTTTGCGTTGATAGCCCCAATTATCATTTTTAATAATAATAATAACAATAATTTATTTAGCAAGGCCTAATTACAGAATAGATAACTAAAATTAAATAAGGTGCAAAAATTATGTAAATATTATATATTAGGCTGTACAATTAATTCTAAGGTAAATGACCTCTGACTTCCCATACTAGAATAAAATTTTATATTATATATATAATTAATTGACTAGTACAAGCAGTGTTTTTAATCTCAATTTTATCCAATGAAAAGTTATAACGTTTTGTCAAATTACCATTCAAAGAAAGTTACGAAATATGTAGCTCTCAGAGACATTTTAGTATAGTTGTGTGTAACAGAATGAATTGTGTGAAAAGTCCTGACACATACCATCATCTTTCAATCTTGTTGGTGGTGCGTTAAAAGGGCACCTATCTAACGGCACAGGCACACGGCACGATTCCTTGCTTTCAATTAAGATGTGTTTGCCCGACGCATATTCAAAGTCCATTTCTTCGTTAGTTAGATTCGTCACGTCTAGTACTAGGTAGAGCTGTGTTGGGCTGAAATGTTCAATGGAAATAATGTTTGTTTGTACAGTCGATGCTCTAAGATTTCGGATCCCCTACCTAGCGATGAAAGAGACTCAGTCTTTTAAGGCGTTTTATAAAGGCTCGACTCCATTTAACAGGACTCGACTCTAAAATTAAGACTGGAGGTTCGCGTTTTTATTAATAAGACTCAATCGTTATACTACGTTTAGTAAAAAACAAGACTTCGTAAAAGAAAAACCTAAAAGACTTAGGGTCGTATTCCAGAACACTATTCAATACTGAAGTCAGGATTTGAGCAGACTTGAGCATGATTTCAAGCACTGGAAATACGACCCTAATGGGAGGGATTTGAGTATGTTTTCGAGTGCTTTAAATCATACTCATGTCATGACTTGAGCAATGAGTAGAGTTCTGGAAAACGACGCTTAAACGACTCAAGTACTTTGCAATAGACTTATACCTATTTCAGCCTTATTAAACCCGAAGTTTATAAATAAAAATGACGTAGTATGTAGTAAATAATCACGGTTTGTTTATAATAAAAATTAGGAGTCAAAGAGTGATTTAAGCAATAGGTACGAGATTTTAAGACCTAATTATAGAATTATTTATGACTTATCATACTTTTTCTGCGAGTAAATTAAAATAATGAAATTCAACCAATATTTAAAAGTCTATGGAAATCCAATTCTAACGTGCCATTTTTTATTGTGTGTAATATTGGTCTTTAACCACTTTTCCTATTATGAAGTCCTGGTATTTTTGTTTAAACTTCTTTAGAAACCCGTGCACACTAGTGAGATACAATTTATCTGTAATACATAGAACAAATATATACATAAAAATCTCGCCTGTCACCCATTCAAGGGTAGGCAGTGACTGTGGACCTCCACTTAATACGTTCATAAATAGTATGTTTCATTCAGCATTATGGTCAAATGACAGTATCAGACACTAAAATTTGATAAAATACTTTGGACTGTTGGGTTCAGTATCCATTCATTTTTATATTAAAGAAACAAATATTTCTTAAAAAAACAAATTATTGAATTGGTTATAATTAACTGAGTTCTGTGAACAAAGCTACGTTAACGTCATCCATCAATAGGAAAATAAATATCTTGTGGGTAGAAATAAAATCACTCCATACGGCTCATGACTCGCGACTCCACAGGCTATAAGGCGCCAGTCGTTTTAGTCGTTTTAGTCCTACAATTCTTTTAAGCTTCCTAGGGTTAAAGGACTTCGACTCGAATTAGTCTCCAGTTTTAGTCTTATGACTCAAAACTTGAGGGTAAAAAGACTAGACTAGTCGTGAGGCGTTACAAATTAGTCGAGGTTTTTTAAAAGACCTTAAAAGACTGGGTCTCTTTCATCACTACCTCTAACAGACTATTTGGTTCTGAGTCATACAAAAATGTTAAATCATTTGTTATGACTCCTTTATTACATCATTAGTGAATGATGTTTTAAGAAACTTTTTAATTCAACACGATCTTTAATTACATTACATGTAAAAAAAAATATAAATTTAACCAAAATATGGATTTCCTTTACTTTTTTTTTTAATGCGAAAGAAGGTGCTAAGAACCAGAAAGTCGGCTAGGATCAGGTATCTTAGAGTATCGACTGTACTACTAATATAAAAATTGTATGTTATTATATTATTTATTTTATTGAACATCATAACGTTTTTACTACTATGATATTCATATATTTTTGGTAAAAAAACTCCACTAGTTTCTTATTATTATTGATATAAAGATCATACAAACACATAGAAGAAATCTTTCAAACCGACTGGCCTGTATGCAACAAATACTGGCCCAGTCGGATTGAAGGAGAGATATCCCACGGCATCACTCATTGCGCTGTCAGAGCACCTCCCTCCTGGGCATAATCTGCCTTGGCACACTTGGAAGTCTCTAAATAGACTGCGGACCGAAGTCAGCCGAAGCAAGGAGGCATGCACAGATAGGGTAGCTCGGAGAGCGCATGCATTTGTGGTGTCTCTCCCCAGACTATGCCACATCTCTAGTCTTGTCCTGCGTGCCCCTACACCAAGGGAGGGCCTGTACAACGCCACTGATAATGCTGAGTCGCTGCGTACTGGTGCTCATAAATATAAAAGTCGATACGCGAAGAAGTCGGATCGAAGGAATTTTTCTTTATGCTTGTTCCGTCTTTGTATCAATAATAATTTTGTTGTATTTAGTTTATTTTTATGTTATTACTGTCTTTCCGGCACTTATTATGACACAAATTTAATTTAACGCGACTTTCAAACTCTTTACGAGGGATGGTGATTTAGATTCACCATAAGGTGCGCAAGTAACTTTAATACGAATATGTAACGATCCGCATGTAATGATACATTATGGCGGGATTGTATTATGAAAATGGTTGTGTACCAAAAACGTATACCAAAAGTGTAAGATACTATGACTATACAATGACTATAAGGTACCTTTACCTGTATATTGTCACTTATATTTAAATTCTAACTACTAGTAATGTAGTGATGATTAGTTAAGAAATAATTGCGATATTACACTTCGTAAGTTTACACTTACATTTCAGCCGGTAGCACATCCCAGTGGGTAATAGATACATTTGGTAGGAGTTCCAAATTGATCTGCAGAGTCGATTGTCTACAATGCATTTCTTTGCCACCTCCGCCTGAATATCTTATGATCACCTGCAAACATTACGTTGACTGAGTTGAGTGGCAACCGTGACCATGGGACCCGAAACGTCGGTTTGTTTGAAAAAACAAATATACGCGATTTAAATCCGGAAAAATAGTTTCATTTCCTAAATATATAATAATATGTAGTGTAGTTTATATAGATTATTCCGGTTTTTTGTGTAGTCATTTATTTAATCATAGTTAAATAAATGTATAGTATAGAGTAGGTATAGTACTGTAACAGAAACGATACTTTTAACGGTATTTATACCTGAGTTTCTACTTGACGACCTCTCGAAGGGGGCAATACAGAGATAGGTGCCGACCAATTCGTTGCATGAGAATTCGTTGATCTGTAATCGATACATTAAAATTAGGTACAATGTTTATTTACAAAACAAATAAGACTTGTACCGAACTAGTATGGAGCTTGGCACTTTACTCCCAGAAAAATTTAACCAGACTCAACTTCTATGCTAGATATAAGCTTGAAATAAAGAGCTTAACAGAATAATAAAAAACATGGTGGCCTGCATTTCCAGCAACACGGCGATACTAAAAAAAGTCCTAAAAGCAGCAACACTTAAACGCTAAAATGTTCTAAAACATAATTATTATTTTTCTCGACCAGAGTCAGTTTTATAAGAATAATATAAAAAATTATAGCAAATACAAGAATGATATGGATATCTGATCTGTCAATATGGGATTCCGTTCCTTTTTAAGTTACATACTAGAGATTCTGCTCGTTGATATGTTGTCTAATACACGTGTTTTATACTAACTCGAATGTTTTCACTTATTTACAATTAAGATTCTAAATATTGTACTGTATTTTTGTTTTGGTGAAAGATAACTAACAAAATTTGATCTGGTAAGAGCCTTAATTTCCTTTCCTTGATGGAGTCAGACGCAGATGATCACCCTGACAGGGGAGGTATCCTCAATTATGTCAATGCAAGTGGTGATTTTGCACTATCACAGATCTGCTCAAAAGCGCCCTGCACTTACCAACGTAAATAGCGTCAAAGCAAAAAGAGGATCATCTCCGTCTGCCCCCAGCATCCAAACCATTTTCACTGTTCCTGGTTACGAAAAACACTCTAAAATCAAGTTCTCATCCTTTGACAAAGCGCCATTCTCAGTTCAGGTATCAAAAATCGAGGATATCCACTCTCCTGGCAGTACAGTTAGTGCCCCTAAAGTAGCTCAATTACTCCACAAAAATCAAGTTCCTGACATTGTCCAATGTGGGATTAGATCATTACGCAGGAATAAAGTATGCGTAGAATTCAAGACTGCAGAAGAACCAAACCTGTTTATAGACAGTGAGTTCCTAAATAAGAATAAACTTACTGCTAACATTCCAAGATATCAGGTATCACGTATGGGAATAGTTCGTCATGTCCCTAAAGACTGGTCAATGGAAGAATTTGTGTTCTCCCCGAAATCTCCCAATACATGCGGTTCAGTTATCAGAGCCAGACAATAAAGAAAAGTTGCTACTGATGGTGTAAGTGAATGGACCCTGACATCATACTGTGGTTTTAACTTTTGTTGGTCAGGTCCTTCTTGATTATTGACTTACAAATGAATGGACGACGGGTCTAATACAAAAACCACGAAAAAAATGTCCCAAGTCAACCTATTCGAAATTTAAATTGTAATGTCATCGCAGTATCGCGCTGTCAGTCGAACAAATGAAGACTAAAGCGGAGTTTGGCGCTCTGTATACGATTTTAGCGCCTTACAAGTGCGGACACTTTTTAGCGCGGTCCCGACGTCCATATAATTGTAAGTCAATGTTCTTGATAAAGTATACTGCTTTAATATGTCTCTTCCAGTCGAGATTTATAATTACCTACGATTCAATGCCGTCATTGCTGTCGATTTGGTCACGTAAGTAAGGACTGCCGCTCAAAGCTTCATTGCAATAAATGCTCTGAAAATCACGCAGGTGATTCTTGTGATGTAGCCGACTGTAATGTATCTTGTTTCCTGTCTCTAGAAAAACATAAGGCTACTGACTTTAAGTGCCTTGAGCATTCACGTCAAAAATCTATAAAAATTGTTATGTCTGAAGAGTACATCTCCTACTCAGTGGCATCGAAACGTTTCAGGTGTGTGAGAATTCCTTATTCAGACTCTACCCAATTACCAGTCTCCAAAAAATTTATCGTCCTCACCTGCGTCTCTTACAGAAAGACTGTCAATGTAACTTGCCAGTTAAGACCAGAATTGAGCCCCTCCTATGACGTCCAGGCCCACCAGAGTCTAACTGCGACTCCGGCATACTTACTCCCGAATGGTAATGTCTTAAATAGGCCTGAAGAACCCGACTCACCGTCAGCTAATGATAACTTGGTTGAACTACTCACTGCTACTCTAGTAAACATCCTAGAAAAATTCTCAGATATTATTCCTCCTTATGTTTTGACCCTGCTCAATGAGTTGATACCCACGTTTAAAAATAAACCTTATAATGGACCCCAGTTTCCTCCAATGGAATTGTAGAAACATCAAAAATAAAAAACATGATATTTTACATTGAATCAAGAGACACTCCCGTGTTGTTCTTGCCATCTCGGAGACATGGCTTGGGCCGGGGCGCCAGTTTAGGTTACCTGGCTTCTCATGTCTCCGGGATGACAGGGATGATGGATGGGCTGGCTGTGCTTTATCCATCAGTAGATCTATCTTCTACAATGAGATTCCAATCCCTCCACATAGACATGGACTGCATGTTGTCGCTGCCAGAGCAATGAATATTTCTTTCATATCCGTTTATATCCCACATCCTTCCCTAGAATTGATAAGGGAATTAGAAACCCTCCTTTTCCCAATTAATAGCCCTCTTATCATTCTGGGAGAATTTAACTGTAAACATACCACGTGGGGCTCTCACTGTTGTGACTCCTTATCCCCATTCTTATTAGATTTGGATGACATTAATGTCTGCGTTTTAAATGATGTTTCAGCCACTCGCAGAGTCTCACCTATCCAAAACCCTAGTGCCGTTGATCTAACTCTGGCTTCGCCCTCAATGGCCCCTCTTCTCAATTGGAAAGTGCTCCCTAACTCATTATGGTAGTGATCACTTCCCAATTGTAACAGTTCTCCATCATTCCCCCCTCCCTCCCACGGCCATTGCTCCACTTTTAAAATATCGATTGGAGAAAGCTGACTGGGAAAAGTTCTCTGGTCTCGATGAAGAATTATCAAATTAGCCAGATGTAAATTCTGGTAACTTCTTGGATCTATATGATATATTCGTAAGCGCCCTTTCTACAGCAGCAGATAAATCAATCCACATTAAAAATTCAGCTTTCTTCTCCTCCATGGTGGGACGCGGTAAGCACTGCCAGTGTTCGCGAGCGAAATCTAGTCGAAAATATTTATTCTGCGATCTCAATATGGACAACTATATAACCTTCCAAAAAATATCAGCACGTACTAAAATATTGCTCACCAAAAAGAAAGCCTTGGAATGGCAGAGATTCTGTAAGTCTCTTTCGCCACGCTTGCCCGCATCACTAGTATGGAAAAACTCAAATGTTTCAGAAGATCAATGTCATCGACTAATAATCCTACTCTTAACATTGCCGATCCTTTGCTCACCGAATTCGCTGGCATACTGGCCTCCGCTTTTGTACCATATGAGGATTGTCTTCCCACATTCCCTACGTCGAGAAGCTTACTAGATAGAATGGAGGACATATTCACATTTGCTGAGTTAAACTGTGCATTGGACAATCTAAAGGACTCCTCACCAGGTGTTGACGGTATCCCTTACTCTTTTATCACTAAATCTTCACAAGTAAATCTAAAATCTAAAACATTTTTTCCAAATTTAATCAATAATTTTTTTGAGACCTGTAGAGTACCGCAAAGTTGAAAAACACAAATAATAGTCCCAATTCAAACTCTCAAAGATCCCAATATGGCAACATCCTATCGACCTACTGCACTCTCTTCGGTTTTGGCCAAAATCATGGAACATCTTGTCAAGAACCGATTAGAGTGGATACTGGAGAGCAGACGAGGAATGGGCACCTTAGATAGTCTTAGTGTTCTTACCACTGATATCCGGTCGGCTTTTTCTAAAAACCATCACGTACTTGGAGTATTTCTGGACATAACTTCTGCATATGACAATGTACAACTTCCAATTCTCAGGCAGAAAATGCTTCAGCTGAGTATCCCTATCAGGTTGGTTAACATCATTTGCGGTATGTTTATGGCAATGTCCAGGGCAATTACCTACCCCCAAGACTGGTCTGGAAAGGTTTACCTCAGGGATCTGTCTTGAGTCCCTTGTTATATAGCGTATACACCTTCGACCTCGATAGAACGGTAGACTGCTTTTGCAATATTCTGCAATACGCAGATGATATCGCCCTGTACGCGTCTTCGGCATCGGTGTTAGACGCGACTAACCGACTCAACTCAGCCCTCTTCTATCTCAATAACTGGCTCACAGATCACGGACTATCTCTCTCAGTGGCTAAGTGTAACGCTGTTGTCTTTACTAGGAAGCGAAGTATTCCTAAAGTCACTTTATCCGTAAACGGTCAACCGATTGATGTTCAGGACCAAGTCAAATTTCTCGGTCTCATCCTTGACTCTAAAACGACAGGTGTGCATCATCTTAACTATATATGCAGAAAAGTTGCATCCGGTATTAATGCGATGCGAGCACTTTCTGGTGTACGCTGGGGATCCCACCCCTACAGCCAAATAATGCTATACAACGCCATAGTCCGCAGTCACTTTGACTACGGCGGATTCCTCCTAGAACCCTGCCACAAAATAGCCCTCTGCAAACTGGACAAAATCCGATCCAAATGTCTTCGGATCATAACTGGCGCTATGAAATCCTCCCCCATTAACGCGCTCCAGGTAGAGTGCTCAGAGCCGCCTCTCTATCTCCGAAGACAATATCTGTGTGACAGGTTCCTATGCAAGGTTCTACAAATATCCTCTCATCCATTGCTTGAAAAGCTCCGATCGCTCAACCAGTTAATCCCAACCTCTAAGTATTGGACCTATAAGGACCCCCTCGTTTAGTGAAAAGCCTAAATAAATTTTCAAATACCGAAAAATTACCAGTACAATATAATAAAAACCCAATTTCTGAATTTGATTATGACTCCTTAATATATCAACCTACTATTCTTTTCAATATCGGCATTAATAAAAACTCTACAAATGCAAGCTCAAAATTAGAAAACATAATTAAGAAGGATTGGAATAACTGGTTTTGTCTATATAATGACGTTCTAAATTAGCAGAAGATATGTAATATCTACATCTATCTATATATATCTAATCTGTATATCTAAAATACGTGATTGCGGATCTGCAGTGTGGATCCCCAAGTATAAAATAATCCTCGATTTTAAATCTCCCCTCCAGGCCCCTGTATTTACGGGTGAAGCGATCGCAATCTTGGAAGCTTCCATGGTAAAGATAATTTTATTTTGAGTCTTAAAATCAAAGATGCTCTATATATATGCAAACTGGCAGGGCATTGAAGTAGTTCTGGCATGGATTCCAGGCCACTGCGGTATTCTGGGGAATGAAACAGCTGACTCGTGTTCCAAGGAAGCCACCCGGCTTGGAAATATCACGAATTATCAATGCTATATCCGGGACCTCCGTATTTCAGCCAAACCTAAATGTTTAAGACTTGGGACAATCTCTGGCAGAAGACCCGCTTATCTAAAGGTAAACAATACGGAGACCTTCAACCGGACATACCTCGTCGTCCTTGGTTCTTTAAGCGTAGAAACCTAAGTAAACTGGTAACGTCTATAATTATTAGACTGCGCCTAGGACACATAACTTCACCAGTTTTTTTGGCCAAGATTAGGGTAAGAGACAATTCCATTTGTGAATGCGGGTTGGAGGAGGGCACTGTAGATCATATATTTTTCCACTGTAATAATAAGACTCCACCTGTACGAATTGCTCCCTGAAAATATGCCCCGTCCCATTAATCTACCATTTCTTTTGACCCAAATTCATAGTCCTTTTGTAAATACCCTGTCCAAATTTATCCAAATCAACAATATTAAATTATAATAACCTTATCTATTAAAAACTATTTTCTGTCAAAAATTTAGTTACAGTACAATATTATATATTTATAAACCCATCCCCCCTTCTATTTTATTTTTTATTTATGCATGTGATGTGAATGTCTAATTTGTGTTTTTGTGTTATCCCTTTTTGGATTCTCATCGTACTCAATTGATCTTCGGCTACGTAACTGTACATAGTCACACCAACGTAAAAGTGTCTTTTTCAACCCTTTTTTTTCTTTTTCAACCCTGACATTGGCAGAATCATCGTGTAAATCGATGTTGCCACTATAAAGAAATTGGAATTGGAAGTTACATAGTATTAAAAATTCGGAACTACTTTATTCATTACTTTTTCTGGAAATTGCAGGTAAAAAAAATAGTTTTTATTTCAGAATTGTTGGATTTTGAGAGCTATTTACAAAAAACTAACTGATAGCCTGGTTAAATTTTCCATTTATCTTAGTACCACGAATGGAATAACTCTTTTATGTTTGAGATATAATCATACATTTATTTGTTTGTATGAAGTTGTCCTCGATTGAGCGTGAACATTCGAGCAAATTCGCGATTTACTTAGTCGAGCAATTGGTGTTGGTTCAAAGATAATGTAATCGCGCAATGTATGAACAGTAGAACGCCTGCAATAATATAATGTTAAATTATCTTACCTAAAACTCCCAGAAAGATTTCTATTAGGCATCAAACCGCTATTTAAAGATGTGTGTTGATTCGAACTTTGCGTAGGCAGTGAGGTCTGCGCGTTGGGGACTGGTGAACCTACTCTTGAGGGATAATTTGAATTTAGACTGTTAGGGAATAAGTTCTCTCCACCAACACCGCCAAGGTCAAGGAAATCTGCTTCTCCGTATAGTTTCATGACTATAGTGGCGGTGTCATTTGGTGCAATCGGCAGTTGTGTTTGTATATCTTCATTGGACCATTGGAATACTTTAGATTGAAGTTGATTGTCCATATTTGACTGGAAACGTGAAATAAAACAAAATGAGATGAGCGACTTCCCTAAAAGTTTAAAAGTGGTTGTTTGAAACAAATAAAAAAAATTCAAAGTACTACATTACAATTGAGGTTATCAGGGCAAAAGTGCACCACTTTTACTCACGCTCAATTTTTTTTCTACAATTTTACTTAAATGGAACTAAATTACACAATTAGTTTATTATTAGTTATTTTCATGTTTAAAAATATGTAATTATTGTTGAAAATCCTCTTTGATGCAGAGGGTGCACGGCAGTGCCAACAGTCTCTTGACCATAGTAACGGACAGTTGATGGTTCGTTTAATAAACGCTTTAACTCACTGCATATAGTAGCTTATAACTGGTATGCCAAATAAGTATAATATAATTAACGTACCTACTAACATAGTTTATAAGTATGTTACTAATTTTTGTTTCTTTTATGATACAAATTATTTATGGATTCAAGTCCGAAATAAATGTGTCTTATTGTAAAAAAAATATACATGAAAATAGCATCCAAATATAAAATAATTATGTACTTTAGTATTACTGAAAGGAATATTGCAGAAAAAATGTTTGTTACACTACTTTTGAGCTGATAGCCTCAATTAATGTTAGATATTCGTATATTAATTAGAATCGGGCGTAAATTTATGTAGTCAGCAGTTAACAAATGCATGCATTTTTTTGTCAAATATTTATAAATCAATAATTATAATGTAAGTTGTATATTTAGGTATGTTTATAAGATTTTATGTTTATGTATACCATTATCATTAATGTTTTATTCTCTTTACTTACCTGTATAGAAAGTTCAAGATATTCAATAGGCACAGCACTAGTATTGGTAATCTTCATAGTACATTCCTGACTTTCCCCATTATATAATGATATATTAGTGTTACTGCCTATATTCTCCATACTCGATAGACTGTTACCCCCAGAAGATGTAACTGTGGTCTCAATGGTTATTGTAGGCAAACTTGGTATGACCTCTATAGAGAAAGAAGCCGGGAATTTGTTAGGTGTAGGCATGTTTTTGAGACGACAATTCGATTTAACGCCAAGAGTGTGGGTTGAGTAGCCGAGAATCTAAAACAGATACACAGTCATAGCTTTTTAGTAGTATGAAACAAAGTGAACGTTTTATGACTTTAATACATCAATATGAACAAAGTGAACGTTTTATGACTTTAATACATCAACATAATAGGTAATGAGTACAATGAAAATGAAGTCTTGGTAGCCTAATGGTTTGACTTACCGCCACTCAAGTCTCCACTGTATTCATTATTTTGATTTATTATTGAATAAATTTAGATGTAGAATTTACGTCCTGGGCGATATTATATTACATGAGGAGTTTAAAACGAAACGCAATGAGCAAATTCTCGATTGATATCTATTTTCTTTACAAGAAAACTACTTTTATCCTCTATCTGTGATAGTATGTATTATAATAAGACAAGTAGAGCAACTGCCGCCTGTTCGGCGCGTTACACTTCACTAGGAACGTAAGGTTGTCCTATTATTATTTCAGTTGTACTACCTACAAGTTGTAAGCATAATTTTTAAAAATTAAGGTGTACATCACAACATTATCTGATGTATTGATATAACCTTTGTTAAATGCATTACTGACGTACTGATATACAATACCAACATTGCAGATTGCTATCTGGTTTATTGGAGTATGATTATGAAATAGAAATGAAATGTTGAAGTATTGAAATATTGGAGTCACCCTTGTTCAAACCACTAAACATAATAATAAACATGTCTACTATTTGAAGTAATTTTTAAAAACCAAGTGAACGCTTTAATTCAATATTGAATGGCATGTGAGACGAAACGCGCTATGTAACGTGAGTACACCGCGAGATTATGCGAATATGTGTGTCCGAGCATTGCGCTCGACGGGTGTGCACACATACAAGTCTCACTTTTACGTTTTTATGGAGTTAACCTACTTGTATTATTAAATTGTGGTATATATTTTTAAGTACTATTTACGTCCTACCTGCAATTCTCCTATTTCTTTTGGCGTTCCATGAAGATTCACAGTAGTGGGTGAATCTGGTGCCAGTACTATAGTCTCCGGAATGGATTCAAATACAACACCTGATGTGAGTAGTCTCATGTTCGACACTTTCAGCTCGAAAGGTAAGGGATTTGTTAATTTCAATTGCACTTCGCAAATATCGTCTTCAACCCACAGGTATTCTATAAGAAGAAATGGTATGCATAAAATTATATAATATATTTTACAAGAAGTTTAGTCTACAGTATTCATATAATTATAATATTTGTTTATTTTCTCTCCCAATAAAAATTACTAAAAACTAATAAAACAGAGTTATGCTTTTTTCTCTCATAAATATGAATTTTATATATTTATGAGAGAAAAAGGCTGAACTAGAAGAGCTGTGTATGTTAGGAGTGTTTATCTCCAATTTATGTCTTGGTTGAACAAGTACTTAAATTACTTTGTGCAATTGCGATTAGGAAATAAATTTAAAAAGTATTTTTTTTATTGTTTTGTACATGAGTGGATGCGTGTGTGTGTGACACGTGACAATCGTATGAGAGCATGTCATTTACGATGTTATAGTCAAAAGCTTCTCGGTTTCGTCATGTATTAAATATTGCAGTCAATAAACTATTGTTTATTGACTGCAATATGTGATATTGCAGTCAATAAACAATAGTTTATTTAATAGTTTAGTTTATTGACTGCAATACGTCTGAGTTTCGACTAAAAGGCGTTCTATAAACTTACATAATTATTTAAACTTATATGTATACAAACACTCAAGACTTTACAGTCCCTTTGCGGTGGTCAAGGGTTATCGATCGCCACTTTGGAGAGCCATGGCGAACATCCCTTCCTTCACTTACTTTCGTACGAACCCACTTATATATACTCTCTACGCTCTCCTATGAACTTAAAAACACTTACCCATTTTCCCTTCATCTTTCTTCGCCTTCCTCTCAAGGCTGCCAAAATGTATAGGCGTAAATATAAAAGGCCCAGTTTGCGCTTTGCACTTGATGAGATGAGGTGTGCGTGCCGGCGCGAGGGGGCGGGGGGTGAACCACGAACAGTGCGGCACGTGTGTTAAGTTCGCGGGTGGTATTACTTCGCCCGTTTCTAAGACTAAAGGTACGGGACCTCCCTCGCATTGAGCTGAGAGACCCTAGAAAATAACACTTCTCATTAGGGTGACAAGTACGTACTGTAGGCAAACTTAAAGTTTCTTATGTTTATATCTGTTCTATATTCATGGAGCCATTCCAATTGAATTATATCAAGCTACGAAAGTTTATTAAACAACATTATAGGCTCCTAAAAAAGGAGACCTTAGTAGAGAGTAATTAAAATAGCACAAACACGGTGTTAAAGTATAATAATATTTTACATACCTGTAATTGTATAGCGAGATCCCTATGCTCTTGCTTGGTAAGATGCGGCCACATGGTCTGAAGGAGAAACGTCATGTGACGCGTGGCAAGCGCAGGGTGACCCATCCGCCGCGCTGCTACTACTAGCTCTTGTAGCAGCTGGATTTGAAGCGCGGGCCAACCTTATGACGACAAAAATCAGTTTGATTCTGTGCTTGTTTACTATAGTTATTACGTGATGATATAGGCATTCTGAAATTATTTGATATTTATAATTACGTTTGTAAGGACTATGGTCTAAACCGATGATTCCCAAAGTGGTCTATGCAAATCCCAGGGGTTCACTCCAACCTACAAGGGGTCCACGTAAGCGAAAAAGAAATAGATGGTGCATGAGACGTTAATGGGAGTCCACGAGAGTTGGATGGAACCCATTAAGGTAGGTCGTGGTCAAAATTGTCTTAAAAATGGAATAATCCACATTAGATCGGTACCTATGTAAACACTTAAAACTTTATTGTAATAGACGTATAAATCACCTATGAGGTACGTTAATGTTTTGCAACAAACAAGATATTCAATTGGATGAAATGTATAAAACTTAACATCAATTTGTTTATTTTTAATAAAGTTTTTCACTAGCAATGTGTCAGCTGTCAAACAAATTCGCCAATTTCAATGTAAATTGAAATAAATAAAATATTGCAAAGGCAATAGTTTATCTACCAGATAAAAAAAATTGGAAATCTCTGGTCTAAGCCCTCTCTTTGGAGGAGACCCGTGCCCTACAAGTGCACATATAATAGGTTGACGATAATTTTGTCACTTAAGTAAAATAACCAATCACATAATCACAAAGAAAATTGTCTCAAGTCAGTCAAACGTAAAATGAAAAGGTTGTTTGGAAAAACAATGGTATACTTTTAACTTACCGACTTGATGCTGGATTACGTAATTTGGATCCAAGCTAAGTTTATGCCCCGGGAAGCTATGCAGCATGAGATAATAACAACGCTGCCAGTCGGGGTTCGGATTGCTGGGGCTCACTTGACGGGTGGCCGCGAGGCGTTGGCAGAACGCTGATTTGCGGAGAAAGCCTGAAATGATTTTTACCTTATAGCAAACATGACTACGAGTTTGACCGGGCCAATTAACTAACCCGGTGTCAGTGCACGACAATAATGGAATTTCTACTAAAATTGCTGTAGGGCTAGCACGATAGGGCGCGACTTGAGCGAGAGCGACATAAAGTGCGACACACTGCTATTCTCGCATATAGACATCTCGCCCTTTTGTGCTAGCCCTACTGGTGTGCAATAAATTCCTTCTTCGAAAACATTACAATAATGAGAAACTGCCAACCTTATCATGTAAAATATTGCTTCGCGTTTCTACCATTGAAAATAATATTATCATTTCCGAGCGTCTTTGAGAAAAAAAACAGAATTCTTTTAGCCTATCAACTGCTATCGGGTCTAATCATACTTTCGGCATATATTGACGACTCGCGTCGAGTTTTTATTTGCTATATAATACGGTTTTTTCAGCACGTTACTGCAGAAAATAAAATGAACGAGAAATTGGGTTGAAAAACATAGAAAATTATTTAGGTTTTAACAGAAATAAATAAATAAAATGCTACTTGATAATACGTAATTGTTACTTTTTATTGAAATTTGATTATTAATAACTTTAAGGAAATATTTAAGTGCATATCAGAAAACTTAATACATATGAAATTATGTCCATTATTCAAATAACTTTCACATCTAAAAAATATTACTAGAAATAAAACAACTGTCTAACAAAACTAGTATCAAAAACAATTTAAAAACATATATCAAAACTAGACCTCTGGTAATTTCTCAGTTAATAACGAAAGTGTTAATTTATTAACAAAAGTATGGTTTACATAACAAAAATACTGATTGCACATTAAATTAAGTCAAACGAATTAACAATTCTTTTAACAAAATTACCGTAATTTTATTTGTTCTCTGCTTTGGAGCTGATTTTCTTGAAAAATAATTAATAATATTGGAACTAAATAGAACCTTTACTTGCAAATACAAAAAAAAAACTGCGATTTTCAAGCATTAGACTTTGTTGCAATGTTTGTGTGAAATTTAATTTTATTCGTTGATCTTATTGTTTTGGACAAATTGTACAATTAGACCATTATATCAAATAAAATGGTGTTTCATTCCGATAAACTGATGTACCTTTTAGTGAATTAGGTATGTTTTTTGTCAAAAATTTATGGCCATACATTTGTTGTATGTCAGAAATATTAGATATGTATTTAGATGATAGATATGCATTGCGATAAAATGTTATGCATTAATTTTAGTACATAATGCTAAATAAATTTTCTTTTGATGTACATATTTTGATGTGCAATCAGCACTTTTGTTGGGGAAGTGACATATTTGGCTGTGAAAAAACTTGCTTTTTGGTGAGCGGTTAAATACTACCTTTAACTTTAATGAAGCAATTTCGCTATTTAGTACTCGAGGGTGAGAACATTTTTGTATTCAACGGAATATTTTTAAAACTCAATCATAACTGCTTACTATTAAACGATCATAAAAAGAAGCTTACCTATTTCCTTGTAAAGATCAGCAAGTGTGTCAAACCTCTGAATCTTCTCTTGCTCGCTAAGCGTCAAATTGATAAATATAACATTCTGTAGAAAACTAGACGCGTGTAAACTATTATTCTGCTCAATAGCAATTCTAGCTGCTTTAAAACAAGCTTCAGTCTCTACTATACCAGCATTCTGGTATTTACTGTAATGAATAATAGCTTTTCGATACTTTTCGGCTATTTCTTCCCCATTTAACAAATACTGGTTATTAATTTGAGAAGGAGGTTGTCTAGGAATTGAAGGGAGGTCTGGACCTAAGTAGGATTTCGGACCTTGATATTCAATATCGCTTGAAGAGGCTAAAGATTCCGAGTCAGCATTGTCAGTCTCGGATTGCCTGGAAGAAGTTTCTAGGCTTTCAGATGAAGATGGCGTTAGTTCACTGGGCTGATTTACAGGACTGGAAGTTTTAGAAGACCTAAGGGGGGATGAAGTCACTTTGAACTTTTTAAATGGATCAGTGTTGGTGTTAGGATTGAATAGAGATAATGGCTTTGTTTTGCTTGGAGAGCTCTCTTGTAGACTAGCGTTTCTCTGTAGCGGCGTCGAGCAACGTAGATTTGGATATAAAAGTATTGCTGATGCTGCACAGAGCCCTGAAACATATTTGTACCGTGTAATGTTATTTGCTCGAACTTTTACTCTGCCTAAATAGCAAGATGTCAACATGAAGAGACAACAGGAAAAAAAATACGAATTTCAGTTCAGACTTAAACACATGGCTAACTTGTATTAAATATTAAGAGTCGTGTTCTAGAACTCTACTCAATGCTCCAGTCAGGATTTGAGTATGGTTTAAAGCACTCGAAATCATACTCAATTCCCTTCCATTAGGGTCGTATTTCCAGTGCTTGAAATCATACTCAGATCCTGACTTAAGCATTGAGTAGCGTTCTGGAATACGACATTTAGGGTCGTATTCTAGAACTCTACTCAATGCTCAAGTCAGGATTTGAGTAGGGTTTAAAGCACTCAAAATAATAATAATAGTAATAACGCTCACACTCAACATAAAAAAAAAATAATCATACTCAAGTCCCTGCCATTAGGGTCGTATTTCCAGTGCTTGTGTTTCCAGTGCAATCCTAACTTTGGCATTGAGTAGAGTTCTAAAATACGACCCTAAGAAAAATAGTCCACACTTATCATAAGTACTGTAAATAAATAATTAAACATGAAACGCCCATCTATATCGTTAGCGAATGTCTTGCAGTTCACCTCATACAAATATATGCCTTATTGAGCATGAAGTTTCTTCCGAGACTATCGACTTCAATTTGTAGGACTAATCAGGAGTAGTCTGAATTATTTTATACCTGAGTAAATTCTTCACTAAAATAAATGACTAAAATCTTCAAATTAGACGCTTGTAGAAGCGCTGCAGTTGCGCGATTGTAGCGCTTTTGTAATTTTTAGTTCACTAATTATGACTGCAAAAGTGAAAAGCATTCACGTTTAATTGATTTCTCTTATTTTATTATTATTATTGAAGCGATTACATTATTTAGAATATTATTAAATATTTACAATAAATGTTATTGCTGTTACTTTTAAATAAATAAATAAGTAGCGCCGTTACTTGACGATGCGCGCGCGCGTGGATAATGGCGGCGACGTCACCTTCGGCTATTTCCGCCGAGCCGAACGCACATTCCTGCGCTCTCGTGTTTTTGAAGAGTCAATGCGCTTGGACCGATGCCGAGGCTAAGACGTCGCGCTCGCGCCCTTGAATAACGGTACTTTCTTTTGTTTACAAAAAAAAAAGTGTTTCACTTCTATCATATACAACAAAATTCCCTATATATAAAGTGGTGACCCCTGGTTTTAACGAATTCGCGTAACAGAAAATATAACATCGACGAAATGTCGGAAGGTGAACCATCAATTTGCCGCGTTGGTGTCAAAATACCTATAATTTTGGCCAGATAAGCCAACCTTATGGTTCGCGCAGCTCGAGGGACAATTTGCTCTCGCGAATGTTACGACAGACCCTACGGAATTCTATCATGTAATTTCGGTGTTGGAACCCAAATATGCCGCTGAAGTTGAAGACATCATTACCAAACCACCGTCTACCGAAAAATATGAGAAATTGAAGTCTGAACTCATTTCCCGTTTATCCAGCACAAGGGCGGAGCGTTAAGCTCATTTTTAAAGAGGAATTGGGAGATATCCAATCCAATTTTTGCGCCATATTCGCAGCTTGGTTGGACGATGATTTGATTGGAAGATGGTTTCTCCGTACCACCAGTTTGGGATCTAGTATTTCCTCTAATGAAAAATCCCAAACAGACATAAGACTGCAGTACTAATTAATATGTTTTAGTTTATTCTAATTTATATTATTAATTAATAATAAATTGAACTTAATAAAAATTTCATTCAATACAATAATTTGTCAAAGTTAATGTAGCGTAAATTGGAATGTTTCTTTGTAAAATTAAAAATAAGGTATTTAATTAATAACTATTGTAACTATAGTGAAAAAATAGGGTGGTTTGCATCAATATTAGACATAACTGGTTGAAGATTGTACCACCTCAGTCAACCGTGACCATGGGACCTGTAAAGGGCCCGAAATGTCGGTTTGTTTAAAAAAACAAATATACGCAATTTAAATCCGGAAAAATAGTTTCATTTCCTATGTGTAACAATCGCGAAAACCTAAGAACTCGATACCAGACACAATATTACATACGTACAACACAAGGACAACCTGTTTTCTCACGCCCAAGGCGTTTAGCTCCTGACCGCCTAAAAATCGCGAGGCGCGAGTTTGAAGATATGGTGCGCACAGGTATAGCACGGAGATCGGATATCCGTGGTCATCCTCTTTGCACTTAGTACCTAAAAAGGACAAAGGGTGGCGCCCTTGTGGCAATCATCGCGCACTTAACGCGCGCACAATACCCGATAGGTACCCTGTGCGAAATATTGCCGACAATATAGAACACCAGGTGCACCTACGCACGGTTTTGGAACGGTTTAACGATTGCGGTATTTTACTTATCGTCGACAAGTGTGTGTTTGCCGAACCACAGATCGAGTTTCTAGGCTATTTAGTATTCTCGGAGGGAACTCAGCCTATAAAGTAAAAGCTATACAGAATTTTTCGCGGCCTAAAACTATAAAAGATTTAAGGCGTTTCCTAGGTGCCCTAAATTTTTACAGGCGGTTTATTACTGGCACCGCACAGTTACAAGTACCTCTCCATGCACTACTCAGCGGTCCAAAGGTAAAGAGCAATAGCCCAGTAGACTGGACTCCTATTTTAGAAGAAGCTTTTAATGCTTGCAAAACAAGTATTGCTAAAAAAAATAATAGTGTTTCATTTCTATCATATACAACAAAATTCCCTATGTTACTATTACTAAACGTTTTATTTCGAGTAACTTTAACAGAACTCATATTTCAGACAACCGTTTCAATTATATGTCAATTTGCATGTTGCTTGTTGCTAGAAGAAAAATGTATGTGTATTATTGTTTTAGATAATTTAGATATTCCACTATACTCGTAGATTAAATGTAGAGTATTTTTAAGTTTTTCCAATAAGTTAAAAATAAAAGAAGGTTGGATTGGAACTGCAGGAAAATGGGAAGATTGGTTTTCTTATTACTATTTCTGACTTTGTTTAAATTTCCATAGCAAATGCATTTAAAAAAGAAATTAAATAAAATTGGCTTTATTTTACATGTGCATGCAAAATAAATTAGAAACAATTATAGAAAATGTGAAAACCACTCCGTGAGTTCTTATTGTAAGGGAAAAAGAGTTTCAGCGCCATCTTACTTGTAATAGTTAGCTATTATATACTAGTAACATTTGTACTAAAACGCCACCTGATGGTGAATGGCTGAACCAGGATGAAAAAAATACTGAAATATTGTAATATAACTCTTACTCAAGTGACTTATGTTTTATTTTGTTAAATTTTAAAATTGTGTTACGTCGTTTTCACGTCTTAAGCCCTACCCAATCAAAATCTTTAAGTTATGATTGTAGATAATAGAGCGTAAAGTTTAAATTGTGTGCACAAACTAAAAAGTGGCGACATCGGTACCCGATCTTACATAGCGTCATTACATATCTCTTTTTTTTCTATATCTATGGTCACGATTGTGGCGCTGCAGCTGCGTTTCTAAATATTGTATGTGTGTAATTAGTAGTGGCGCAGCTGCAGTGCTTCTATAAGTGCCTAATTTGAAGGCGCACTAAAGACATGGGACTCTTATATTAGGTCATACTGATCGCAGTGAGAGTGGGGCTACATCGCCCTACAACCTATTTCCCTTGTACAAATAACCACAATCAATTACAACAACACTTATGAATATGTTCATAATACTAAATGCATACCTTCTTTAGCAGCCGCGAGCCATAACCAATCATTGACGGACTTTAAAATCTCAGCAGCTGAATGGTACATGCTGAGACTCTCTGCCACTAATCCTGCTTGAAGTGTTAAGTCCGCCAGATTTTTAGTAACGCGACCCATGCATCGCTTCTTGTTGTTGCGAGATTCCATATCAAGGCCTGAAAACCACATTTTGAAGTCCAGTAAACAATTTCATTTCCTTCAATAATAAACTGTGACAAATCAAATTTCCAATAAGGAAAGGGCTTGAGTGTGCACTTTGCCCATTATACGCCATGTTTACATTATTACGTTATGGAAAGAATTTTTGATAATAAAAATGATATGACCAAAAAATCTCTTACCAACAAAATCTTTCTTTTCAAATGGTGCTAACAGCAAAGTAACTTTTTCCACTTTTTCTCTAGATCTCTCTAGTCTTTTAGACTCAACTACCCAAAACAGAGCGTTGATTAATTCAGCCACATTCTGTTCCAAATCAGTCACCGGGTCATTCTCGCCATAGAACATGGCATGTGTTTTGAAGTTTGATGGAATGGTGAAGTTATCTTCCTGAGTAGATGTTGAGGATTGTGGGAAGCTGTCTGATGATGTAAGACTGTCTTGTGGTTCACTGAAAAGGGATGACCTATACATTAAAGATTATCTAAATGTTAATGCACAGTCATAATATTTATTAGGATAGTCATTCAAGTAACCTTATTTTATTCACAAATTAGAAATATGAAATTTTGTCATTTTGAAAGCTAATTTGTGACAGGATTATTATCAAAATCCTGCTGAACAGTACAGGACTAAAGAACAGAAAAAAATCTGTGTAACAAATATGAATAGGTACTCTATGTTACTAATCAACACTAACTGTAATATGGTAAAAATAATAACATTTTATTTACTATTTTTTTCTAATTCTTTGGAAGCAACTACAAATAATTTACAAAGTTAAATTCCATATAAACAATTGTGTAATTACAAGCTACAATGAAACACTTCAACATGTCACTGGATTATTTATTTATAGTTATTTGTTTCTTGTTTGTGTGATATGTGTGTGTGTACACTCTGTTATATTGTTTTTTCCCTTTTTATGTATTGTAACTGCCAAATTTACGTGTGCAGTGTAGTTTTTTTTTTAATAAAGTATTTGTGTTCTATTGTATTCCATTAACAAAATAAAAATAAAACTTACTTGTCACTGATACTATGACCCGCCGTGCACTTATCATCTTCAAAAATGTTATAAGACTCAGGCTCCTGCTCAGGTTTCTTCATATTACTGTTAGGCCCAAACATGAATGCTCGGGAGTCATACAAGGTGTTTGAATACTTTACTTTCAATGATTCGTGGACACGACATACTTCATTAAGCTCTACTTGGTTTTGGAACTTGCTTAAAGTTATTAACCCAAGGAGTCTCCTAAAAATCAAAGTTAATAATAACTTTTTATTGTTTTACACATGGTGGCAGAAAAGGCCATTCAAGTCAAGGTTTTTTAGTAGGGATTTTTGCACTGTTGATTTCCGTAACATCACTACGTCTGATATGTAGTTAGTATTACCTTTCAAATTTATTAAATAGGTACTACCAAAAGCCGATCTGCATAGTTAAGCTACACCCATGAGTAAACTTGCAATTTCCACATGTTTTATTTATACAGGTGACTATTTTTCCTTAAACAGCATATATACACATGTGTGTATATGTATACAACATAATGTATATGGCTTGTGCTAGTTGAGTTATGGTGAAGTACAGGTCTAAGGGTCGTATTCTAGAACTCTACTCAATGCTCAAGTCAGGATTTGAGCAGACTTGAGTATGAATTCAAGCATTGGAAATACAACCCTAATGGTAAGGACTTGAGTATGATTTTCAGTGCTCACTGCAATACTCAAGTCCTGACTTGAGTATTGAGTAGAGTTCTGGAATACAACCCTAAGATTACCAAATTAAATAATGTAAACTAATCTCAGAATTAGATAATTCCCTCTGTAACTATGGGTACTTTCTATACTTCTTAATGATATGGATAAGAAGGACAAAATAAGCTGTACTTTATTATATTGTCAGTGTTTTGTAGAAATTGCGAGAGCGCCATTTCGAAAAATTTTTCAGGAGAGCATGTTTTAAATTTCAATTTTGAATTTAATAAGTAAAACTTAAACTTAATTCAAATAAAAAAAACAAGAAGTGAAAATAAATCATACGCCGCTGAAAATGTTTCAGAAATGGTGCTTTCACCCTTCCTACAAAACACCGACAATATATAATACAGTTATGAGCTTGTTTTGTGAATCTAAAGGTAAACAAACAAACATTATTATTGGAGTTTGCATAAGTATTAGGAGGTGGTTAGAAATATCTAACCATATTAAACTACTCAAATAATTGTTGCAATTATTAAATTACATGGACTTCTTAAAAGGAAAAAATGGATTTAAGATCAGTAGCATACAATCGCATTATTTCTAGGTTACAGCCTTTACTGTTTACCAAGAGCCATCAAGCTCCAGAGCTAATTTTACTTTACCTATGTGTTTGGAAATCTCCCCAGTCATTATTCTCAACAGGATAGTCTCTAACATATCTCACCCATATATCTCTCACTTGTCCAGATGAGTCTGAAATATACATAATACTGTTTACTCTATACTTTCTTTACCACATTGACCTGTTTAAAGAGCTGAGTCGCCGACTCAGCCAGTGGCTGCGATCACTGCTCTGGGTCGTGGTTGGTGCTGACAGTGTCCCTAGCCGTTCAGCGAGGCAAATGCTGCCAGTATAATGGATACTTTTGCGCAGGCCATGATACAGGGCGGGATTTCTTTATTCTAAATCTCTTGCAAATACCAGTTTTTATACACCGTGCTGTATAGTCTCAGTCAGACAATCTTGTGGGACAGCAACCCGTCAGGCCTTTAAGTTGTTTCTGTGTCCACAGATTCCTATAGGAATTCCTATATTATATATTCCTATTCTGGGGGCCGTGACTGGATAGTCAGAAAGGAGGAATACAATGTGAGGAGTTACTTTATATTGTAACTTTGAATTATAATTTAATATAAAAAATAAGGACAAAACTATTGAGCTATGATTATTATATTCATGTATAGAACACTTAACTACATTTTTAGTCGTTCTAGAAATTGTAATAATTCTATAACTATCTACAACAATTAGAGTAATTAAAAAGTTCTCCAAGAGCAAACAAATCATTACTTCAATTAAGAATAATGGACGTAAATGAAACGAAATGTGCATGTTTACCAGTTACTTTGATGTTGTTAACTCGTTGTATACGTTCCCAGAGCTTGTTGAAATTTTTAAGCATGCCGCCTATGCCTTTAACCAGCACCAGCAGGCACGCATGGTGCTGGGCTTGCTGCGTGTAGTCCGGATGCGACATCACCGTCTCTCCAGGCGCATGAGACAGGATGTAGCTCACGGACGATCGCATTGATATATCATCTGATTATTTTACTAAACAAAATAGTACACTAATTTAATAAGGATGCGAACTTCTGACACAAGTTTATTTAACAGTCTGCGCAATGCACTATGTATCTTTCTGTATTCTATAAGATTCTTTCTTAATGATTTCCAAGTCAATCATTCGAAGATATCCCGTTTTTTTTAATAATCTATGTTCACGGGGCGTATCATCGAAAATATTTTCTAATTTCTATCTTTCTTTTATTAATAATTTTGGCTTGGATACAAGTACTTGGAGCCATGTCTTCGTTTAAATTATGTTTCTGCAAATATGGCCGCCACAAAGAGGATAGGCAATTTGAGGCGGCGTGCTTGAATTAATAATAATAATAAATATCTTTATTTATCTTCACAACACAATACAAAGAAACGTTACAATTACATTGAATTGACTCGGGGTTCCTTAGAACGGACCGATACGGGTATTTTAGTTCGAGATTCGTATAATTTCGCGTTTTAATCTTCGGTTAAGGCATAATAGAACTATCCTATTCCACTTTAAACTAGATTTCACAAAACAATTGAAAGTCAAAATAAAAACGACACTTTTCCCTCCAAAAGGCCCAGAGCGAATCGAATCTTTCTACTTTTTTAAAAAATTTATTGCTGGCCATGGAAACAAAGTCCTTCAGCCGAAAACATAAACGTTTAATTATATTTCTGTAAATATGGCCACCACAAAGAAGATAGGCAATTTGAGGCGGCGGGCGTGCTTGGATTGACTCGGGATTCCTTAGAACGGGCCGATACGGGTATTTTAGTTCGAGATTCGTATAATTTCGCGTTTTAATTTTCGATTAAGGCACAATAGCACTATCCTATTCCACTTTAAACTAGATTTCACAAAATAATTGAAAGTCAAAATAGAAATGACACTTTTCCCTCCAAAAGGCCCAGAGCGAATCGAATCTTTCTACGTTGAAGCAGTGTTGCTAGGTCAAATCTGAAAAATCGGAAGATATTGCACAGAAAAAACCTTAGACTTTTTTTCCATCCTCTAAGGAAAAAAACAGTAGATTCAGGGAAAAAAAAGCAGAAGAATAGATGCTTAACTTACGTTGTTTGAAACAATTAAAATCAATTTTCTTCAAACATCGTCACCTAATGTTTTTGATGTTATCTTAATATGTTGGTATCTGATAATAAAAATTGTATTTGGATAATAATACCACAGATGTTACTTCCCCGCATTTTCTAGACCTGTGATTGATAAATATGCCGAAATACCAAAAAAAATATGAAAGGACGATGTTCTATTATTTGATCACATTGCAAAGTTTTGCAAAAACTCCGAAAAATGTTCAATATGCTTAGAAAGTCACAGTTGAGATCACGTTAATGCTAAATGCCAGCACGTGAAAGATTTTTAGTAGATACATTTGTGGACTAGCTAAAAAAAATAATTCAGTGGAGTGCATAAATAACCTATTTTATCCAATAATAACAGTTTACAACATTGTTTATTTAATGTGCTTTACGCTTTCGTTCCAAAAACATAAAGTACGACGTCGTAAATAGAAAAGACGATTCATAAAAACTAAAAAGCCGGCAAGAACAGTTGTGAAAAGTGAAAAATCGGAAAATTCCTAATAAATAGTAGATTTTCGCTAAAAACAGTAGAACAGTACATGTCGTACAAAAACAGTATATCTACTGGAAAAACCTTAGAGGATGGAAAAAAAAATAAAAGAAAGGAGCTGCCCTAGCTACGGAATGAACGTGCATACATAGGCGCGCTACGTCTATGCGTGCATACCTAAACAAAAATTGAACTAACAAAATGGCGGATTTCTTTAGTGTCGTACCATAATGTATCGGTAAGTCATTATCGACATGCAAACATTTAATTAAAGTAGATCAATATTCCATTTGGGAATACTTTAGGTTATATGGTAATATCCGGGAATGTCACATGAAAAGTTGAATTTATTCTATATTTTATATTACAAATACTCAAATATTACGAAAAGTGAATTTGCACAGAAAAAATGTAATTTGAGAGTGTATAAAAAAGAGAAAACTTTGAAATATAAATTCTATACATTTCCAACCTCAAGATTCATATTTTCATAGAGATTTTTTTAAACAGATTCCAAATAGTGTAAGTTTTTTTGTATTTATGCATTGGTATAGAATTAATATCAGTGACTGATTTAAGTGAATCTTTAATACTTCCATATAATTTGGAAATAAATTAAAGTAGTAATATTATCAATAATAATATTATTATCGTTCGTTTATTTGCTTAAAACATGGTATAACAGGAGATGTAACAAAAGACAGTGTTAGTATAAACATGTTTCGCATATATTAGATAGCCTGCAAATGCTCATACAATGTTAATTGACTACTATTGGCCGAGCGCCTTTGATTTGTGCAGAAAAATCGACACTTCTCCGAAGTGAGACAAGTAGTCACGAGCGACTGCGAGTTGTGACAAGCCACGTCAAATGAGCTCTATACACGTTAGCGCTCGCCTTCACTCGGTCAGCTAGGTATTGTATTGCTGGGTTTCTAAAATAAGAATTTTTAGTAGTTAGAGTTGTCAGTGGGAATAAATCGGAAATGAGTGGATAATTTTGTTTTCAGGAACTGAGAATGCCTAGTAAATGAGTCTTGTTTAATCTAAATTAAATATAAAATTATTTACCAATAAACTTAATGATGGAATTGCATTATCATGTAATCTAGTTACAGTCGAAGTTATGTTAATATTTGACTCTTCAAAATGAAGCGAATAAATGAAGATGGTCTTTGATTCAATGTTTATATTCGGCGCTATTATACGGCGGTTTGATTTCCAAACCATTCTTTTTTCTTTTTTATTTGTAGGTAAACTTGAAATAGTAAAAATAATAATAATAAAAACCTTGTAGTGAATTATTTTGATAACAGAATATCGATAATATGTACGCTTCCAAGAACAACACTATCTTAAAATAATCGTTAACAACAATCATCAAAGTACACAAACAAACAGGCAATCTCAAGAAACCAAAGCAAAATTTGGCAACATTTGTGAATAAACTACTTAAATGTGTCTAATTACATAAGATATTTGTGCTTTTGTGTGATTTGTAGATAGAAAAATAACACGTGTCTGTACAAGTTACATTCGGTCGATTTTCGCTTTTTCAAATGCCATATCCCGTAATGCTGCAGCGACGAATTTTCATTAATACTTAATTGTTGTACAATAAAGTAATAATAGTAGTAATATTTAGTAGTAAGTAGTAATATTTTTTATATAACGAATATTTAAAATGAAATTTTAACAAGAAAAAGTTATTTACATATTTCCAATGTATTTAGGATCGTTACATAGTTCGGTGTTGTGAATATTGTGAAGCAAATAATTAATTTTCGTAAAAAAATTAACGTCATTTTTTCTTCGGATTTCTGACGGAACTATAACTGTCATTATGAAATAACCTCGAAATCGGTAATGTTTGTTTGGGTGGTACGCGCCGCTAAATAACAAATAAATTGTTCGTACCTATATAACTTAATTAACGGCACCTCTAATTTGAATTATATAATGACGTCGAAAGAGGGAAGCGACAAATCGAAGGTAAATAGAAAATACTTAAATTTGCAAGTAACATTTCTAATATACTTACTTACGAGAGACACAACACAAAAATAACAATTAAATCTCCAGGCCACTCAGGGTGCGGGGGACAGCAAAGAGAAACGAAGAAAGGAGTCTATCTTAGATTTGAGCAAGTACCTCGAGAAAAGTATTCGCGTGAAGTTCGCTGGTGGACGAGAAGCGGCGGGAATCCTTAAAGGCTATGATCCTTTACTTAACCTTGTATTGGACAATACCACAGAATATCTTAGAGGTAAAAGTGAAGCCTTGTATTCATCACACAATTATTTTGTGATATTACTTTTTTCTGGACATGGTTTACGTTTTATGTGGACATGGTGACAGTGAAAATAAAATTTATTGTATGACACTAAGGTAGTGTAGTGTTACAAAAAAACTTGCAGAATTTGCATAGAATGTAAGACTTTTAATTGTAATGATTTTCATTAATTTATTATGATATTGTTTCAGATCCTGATGACCCCTACAAATTACTTGATGACACAAGAGCATTAGGCCTAGTAGTCTGTCGTGGAACATCAGTGGTCCTAATCTGCCCTATGGATGGAATGGAGGCCATACCAAACCCTTTCATAACACAGGAAGGATAGTTTTGTGCTTATTAATGTGATTGAACAATATAAGTGTAATTTTAAGTAAATTTAAGATAATTTTGTGTTTTCTTTTGTTTATAACATAAGAGATACATTAACATTTTTAAGTTGTTTCTTTTATTGTTTATTTTTTGGGTGTAGGCACATTTATTGAAATAAAAAGAAGTCACAAAGTGAAGAAGTGCGTCTGTGCAACCGTCTTTTCAGCAGCAGACACTGATATTTTAAAATAGATCTAAACTGTTGCTGTGACTTGTTGTTGCTGTACACACAACAAGTCACAAAAGTTCAACTTAGGTGAATAATATAAAACACATAGGTACAGGACAAACAAATGATTTGTATTGTATGTAGATTAGTAAGCCAATTACAAATTGTCTTATAAACTAATATTGTTATTGTAAGACTACTTGGTTTATTGAAAAATATATTTTATTCTACTCACAAATTATTGCACATCAAACTTAGAACAAAAAAATTACAGATCATACATAGTATAAACCTTATTTCTAAAATAAATTATAAATTAAATATCCATTACGTTCATAGTACTGGTAACTAATTATTTTTTTCTCTTCAGTTCTATACCACTCTTTAAGAAATCACGTAGTCTTCTTATAAATTGTATGTACTGCAGGGTTGTCCAAGAGCTGTGATATTTATAGACCATATATATTTTTTACTTCAAATGCTATTATAGTCTTGACCTTGATCATATTACACAACACGGTAAGTCGTTAGGGGTCTCAATAAAAAAAAAACAATGTACTTAAGAGATTGGTGTTAAGACAAAGTTACTATAACTTGAGAACAGTTTAATTACTAGGTTTATCATTCCACTCCAAACTCATTTCTTATCCAAGGATAGCTTTTTGGGCATTCATTACAAGTGATCATGTACTTGTCGTGTTCTAGAACTTTTGATGGCAGTTTGCAAGTTTTAGGTTTAGTGCAAGCAATTTCGCATTCATCGAAAACGCGATGGCATTGCCATGGTTGGAACTTGTCTAGTTGTAGGACTGGTGTTGGGCGTTTCATCCAATCTATTACTTCACTATAGGAGACGAAATAGACGTCGGGGAGCCCCAGGAGCTCGTCTACGAATTTCTGAAAACCAGGAACATTAATGTAAAATTCTTCATTAATTTCTTCTAATTTTTCACTTAGGATGAAAAAAGAAAGATTATTTTCACTGTAATTAGTATTTCCAATGCAGGTAACAAGATAAACAATTTACATTTATTAACTCACTTTAAATGCTGCCAAGTATTCATAGTTCTTCAACAATGTAGGGTTAATATGTATCCCAAATGGAGCTCTGTTTTTAAGGTAATGTCTCTTAAAATTGTTTATTAGAATATTGTACATATCCTCAGCACTTTTTCTTGAAGGGCAGTAGTCCAATGTTGCGCATACATGTTCTCCATGGATAAGAGGATTGATCACCATCTCCCAAAGACCAGCATAGCTTCTGGTGGGACAGTATTGATTGCTACCTAGAATACGACAAAGGCTAATTAAGTGACAAATATATTTAAACCTGGCTTTGCATCTCTCCATTAACTGTTTACTTTATGTCATCTCCAAAACAAAAACAATTCTACGTTTCTATAGTGAAATGTCGAAAATTTTGCAAAGTACGCATTCTTTTCACGTTATATCATTAACAAACAACAGGTGCATCCTCCACACGGAATAATAGCTAGCAATCTCTTTTTTACTGCTATAAACTGAGGCCATATTACCCTCAGAGATTATCTCAAGTACAGTCGCATACGGTATTACGTAGAACTTAACCAACATGTGAGCACACTTAAGATCTCTGAATAAATTTGTTGTGATCTACTTGTCATCAGATCGACTGATTAACAACTCGCACGCTCCACTTATTTTATGCAGCTAAAATAGGTTATTATGTCTAATGATATGAACTGTAAAGTAGAGAATTACACAACCTAACGTACACATTAAATTTAATGAAATACGAAAAAATAATACAGGAAGAAAGTAAAATGGAATTTCAAATTAATATTTCTTGCATATTTAGTTCCAAAGAGGGAAGCATTTAATAAGTTCCTTTTGTTATGTTATGTAACTAATTATAATGTAGAACTCTACTTACCGGTGCACTTATGAGGCATTTTGTAGTCGAGGGTATATGGCCAAAATGGTGGATCGACCAAAGGGGCAACAACCGTTGCGTCGTATACAAATCCAAATTCTTGCATCATGAGGAATTGTCGATTCCATCCCACTGCTAAATTTGGCACTCTCAAACCTCTGCGGAAATAAACACGTCATAAATAAAAATTAAATCGATTGTCTTTCGATCCGAATATGATTAGTTATTACAGTACGAACCTTAAGTCTTCCATCCGAACTTCCGCGAATTTGCTAATGATGTTGGCTTGACCAACCATTTCGTCGAACCAATCTTCGATGGTGGCGTTTTTGGCCCACCATTCTGCTGGACCCCGGTATCTACAATTTCGCAAATGATGATGACATTAATGAACATAATGTAAATTGAATTTTTGTGAAATGAACTTACGTAATAGAATTAACAGCAATTTCATGTCCATCATTCCATAACTTTTGCACATGTCTATAGTTTGTGTAAGGATGGGTCACAAAGAACGTAGCTTTGATGGGGCATCCATTAGGATTTTTTCTTTCTGATGTAAGTAGATGCTTCGTGTAAATGTCCCAGTTTTCGTGGTTCACCGCTCCGTTGAACGTTAGAGTGATCATTTGTGGAGTCTGAGTAAGTAAAAAAATTTTTGAAAGAACTTTAGCCATGAATAACTGTGAGAATAACTTATCGCGTTTGTATATAAGGATGTTACCTGACTAGGCACAAGGTTTCCCGGTATGTCAGTACCATTTTTAGTACAGTAACATTCTGGAAGTTGACAGACAACAGGATCACACGGCTCTGCAGCATTAGGGTCGTAGTTTACATCGCACCAGCCCTGTAAAATCATGTTATCATAAAAGAGGAAGCAAAAATCTCGTGTCTCAGGTCTATTGTAGGGGGTGCACTAATAGTGAAAGTTAATGACTCTAACACTAGAAATTGTTTCTTCCTCTAATGGGAATCATGTTTTGAGATTACGAAATATTATAATATAATTATAGCGCAGTATTGGAAGTCATGTAGTGAAAATAATGCAAAATCATCGCAATCTGCGTTCGTTACTGCCAACTTATATGTTTGACCTACTTTTAAACTTAAAGAATATCGTAATCGTATAGAATAGATAATTACTTCGTCAGAACCGTCCATGCAGTCAATGGAGCCGTCGCAGAAATATTCAACTGGAAGACATTCTCCGTTGGAGCAACCGAGATATGTAGCATTAGCACATTTTGCTTTGTCCAGCAGAGGCGTTGGCACTTTTGTCTCTGAAAATGGAATCGTGAAAGGACAATCCAGGCTTTGTTTTGATATAAATAATCACCACTTACCTATGTATGTACCTACCTACATGTAAATCAATACGCATGAAGCTCAACTTTCTTGGGAGCGGTTGTCCAGCCAGTAACTTTTACATACGTAGGTACTTTAATTTAAGAAATGCGTAGTTACTGTGTACCTACCTGCAGTGAGATCGCAGTTGTGTACGTTCTGTTGCTTGTCACATAGCTGTCTGTTCACATCGAATAGTAGGGTCGGTGAACAACGGAACTCGAAGACCTCGTTGTCCAAACATAGATAGTATTTTGCGCATTCATCTACTGTCCATATTTTGCTTTCGGCTCGGTCTGGATTTCTGATAGGAGGCATTAAACGTAAGAGATAGATTATAGAAATTGGAATGTTGGATATTATTTAGATCTACGTAGACTCTTTTTGACCATCTATTTACCTAAACGTTGGTTTAATACTTAAAGGAGACGATGGAAAAGTGGTAGAAGAAGGTACGGACAACGGCACATCAGACTACACATTTTTGTTCGAAAATCGCCTCCATTGCAACGGAACAAGATACGTCAATGTGTAGCTTGATGTGCAGGCGTGTGTACATAAAGACTACAAAATCCTTTTGAATCATTGCACGGTTTGGTATATTTTAAGGCGGTCCAAAAAGCACTCCAGTAAGTATATCTAGTTAAACGTAATAGCATAGTAGTACATAATATTATACCATGGTAATAGATTCAGTCCAAGTACTAATCGCCAATCAATTACACTGTACGGTTGCGTGTTTCATGTGTTCGTAGCGTGTACACAAAACTGCGGAATCATTATCGATATTGTCCACGTAACAGTGCTTTAATTACGTCATGTTCACACAGATTCAATGAACAGCGAAAGTGGATTTCTCAAGTAGCAGGAAATGATAATTGTGCGAAATGCGGCGGACGGACAGCAACCATTGGCGCTACAGAGTGCGGTCTGGGCCCGAGTCAAGGTTGCGGCGAAAGTCGCGCGGGGTCGTCGCCCGCAGCATATCACATCATGCGGGAAATAGAATAGCCCACTACTCACTGCTCTACCGTGATCGATTCGCGTGATAAATGGATGAACGGATATACGGAAGTTTCCGTGCAGTACCAAGTTCCGTTTTTCATGTCGGTCAGCAGGTTGCAACCGCGAGTTTGGCGTTATGCTCACCTGTATGCTGGAATTTCAATCATAATGGAGAAGAATGACTGGAATTGGCATTGGAAATTGTTAGGTATTTATTGGAATATAACATCCATGAATTAGAACATCTAAGGGGTTAAGTGGTTAGATAACGAGTTTACCAATTTTGGTATTCTCCTTGTACCTATACCTGACTCTTGTTTTTTGACAGTCATTGCCAGTACCTAGATATTTTGGAAGATCAAGATTCAAATATATAAGAACAAGGTTAAGTAACTTATTCTCAAAAAAGAACAAAGCTCGCATAGCGGTTGTAGCGGACTGTAAAATTGGGGGTCGGGTGCGCGAGAGAGGAGCAAGTCCAAAGAAAATGTATTGACAGTTTATTAAAAACAGAAACAAACTAAGAGATGTGACAAATCAAAGAAAAGGCGACAAGAACTGGTATATGTGCCTACATTTAAATTTAGAATTTGAGTCTAAAACTTGATGAAAAAGATTTGCAGCGACTGCTGCAGTTCGCTATATTGTGGTTATTAAATAATGAATCCAATGTGGGTAATTATTACGTTAATTACTTGTTTTCAAGGCAAATATGTCACCCGTGAAGAATTACCGGTCAGTAGAGTTGTAATCGCGCCAGTATTTACAGCTTTAACTCTCTCGGACAATCACGCTTTTCACCTTCATAACTGTGTGTTTGCTTGATTGCATAAGACCTAACAAGATTGTAGGGAAGGATAGAAATCTATTCTTTAAGTAGGTAATTTTTATTTTATTGCACCTAAACTAGTTTCCTAAGTTATCATCAGTTTAAACTATTATTACTAGAGTTTCTATTATAATATAAATGTCAAAACTTAATGGTTCGCTAGTTTACGTTTGTTCCACAAACAAGACCTTTTGTTTTCATTTTTGAAAATCATAACACTAACCTAAACTAGCATAACATGAAACTGGGTTTCATAACAAGATGCATAATTGAAAGCAATGACTGAATGTATGAGGAAGTAGGTAACTATAAGTTTAATTACCTACATTTCCTCAAAAAGGGGTCTAGTGTAAACAATATAGATCAAATATAAGTAGTAGTAGATAGCCGTTTAAATGATTCGTTTCCTACCACTTCTATTGACAATTTAAAATATATTTCCTTAATTTATACTAAATCTTATGCCTAAAAAGTTACTTTTGTCAAATCAATATTGATTGTGTCTTGACACCGACGACGTGCAGATTGTTTACTCAACTACATGTTAAGCTATGCAAATTTAGATTTACTTTCAACTGCAAATTGAAACTTTTGTGATAAGGTACGGGACAATATTCAGTTATAAGTTTTGACTGGTTGTACTTATATAATTGAAATGTGGCCTACCGTATTGTAGAGCACAATTCTACAACTTGACAGCTTTTATGAATTTAATTAAACTGGTTTTAATATTATCCTGGTTTTAAAATGGTTTCAATATTTTTTCTTTTATTCGATGTACACTCACCATATAATTATTACCTACGCACGGTCAAGCGCTAAAATATGCGAATTGGGTAAGATTGTGAAGCGTTCGTGTTTATTTAAATAACACTTAAGTCATTTTGATATGTCGCACATGAAGCCAAATACCGTCGTAACTCGAAAATGATAGAATTTGAGAAAAGACTATTTGAAAATTCAAAAAAATACTGAATGGAACCAATTTTTTTTTATGATACCAAGTGATGGGACGAATAAGTCGAAGGCCTGATGGTAAGCGACACGGCTGTCCATAATAGTTGAAGTGATACTCAGAGCTTTAAATCGCAAAGATCTGAGGGGCACTGCCACTGCTCCCGTCATTCACCCCGAAACAAGTTGACAAATCCCATGTGTTCGTTATATCTAACTAACTAATTATGTTTAAATAATAATTCGCGGTAAGATTAATTCAACTTTTTTTTTATTTTCAAGTCGTGTTTCCTCAATTCAATTATTTTTAGTTACGACAGTATTGGATTTCATATGCGATGCAAGTATTTCTAATAATACCTATAGACAAGTAAATCGTTTAGTTTATGTGTGAACAATGTTACGTTCAATTTTAGATGGGTTAATTTTGTAAGCACCTGAAAGGTACCTACGTATAGTTGTAGACCACTGTATGCAGGTACACATACCACATTCCACAATTTTCAATTAAGCTAAACACTGTAAGGATTCCATATTGCATTCATTAAATCGTTCTAATCATTTGTGTCAGTAGAAATTAATTTTATACTAACTTATTATAAAATTCTTAATAAAGCGTACAAGTAAGAAATAGTGTGCGAACGAACCTGTAAAATCGTCCATTTTCGTGACATTTTACATTTATCAAACTACGTGTCGTTAACCGTTTTCCATCCACTCCTGCAAGAATTCAATACATATTACACAACACCTCATTTTATTATAATAAAATACTAGAAAAAGGAATTAATTACGTATAGGTACTTAAAACAATAAAACTTATGACCCACAACAAAATCCAAAGTATTTTGAATGAACACTGTATCGCTCTACTGAAGAAATTTGTTGAAGAATAGATAAAATTAAAATTGCTACTGTTAATTGTTTACCTAAAAGAACTAAAGCGATCGCAATCGCAGCAAGTATTCGCGAAAGGAGAGCCATGCTGCACCCGCGGCTTCTACGGAGGCACTGACTTAACAACCAACGCTGCTTGACTATGGTCATTACTTTCTTTTGCACGGTTCTCTTCGTCGGCAGTGAAAGAAAGGAAATTTATTATTTATAATAACTGTGGTAAGCAGTTAGGTTCAGTGTTTTTGTTATAGTTCGTAGGGAAACGTTAATAGTTCTGGTATGTGAAGTGACTACGTGAATTTGTTTAAATTTCCTAGTTGGAGAATGTATTCGGGCTGAACTTACAATTCACTCGGTGTCATTTTTTTTTGTTTTAACACGGATAAAAAATAAAAATAAGAACAGGAGTTTGTCGGCTAAGGGAGTCAACAAATTTATGGACAAGCATTAAGCCGGTTGGAAAAAAGTTTTATGTGCACGTAAAAACGGCGAAAAAGGTGTCGGCATTCTGAGCGGATGTGTAACGCGCAACGTCTTTTTCGCTCGTATTTCACGGACATAAAGTGCATGCAAATGGACATGCTGGTGAAATTACTGGCACATGGGACTTGGTCAACTTATGTCTCAGAGTTGCAGTTCCACTCAGATCTTTGTGATTTAAGATCTGAGTGGAACTGCAACTGCTATGAACAGGCTAGGCGTGTCGCTTACCACCAGGTGCACGATTTGTTTGTTCCGTCACTTGAACAAAACATATAATAATCAAAAAAACAATTCTGACCGGCTCAAGCTATTCCGCTTGTCTCCAATGCAGCAGGAAAGTTTCAATAAAATGAAATTATCGAATTTGTATAATTTATATTAAAACATTACACTATTTTAGTTACATTATTTATGTGAAACGCCAGTTCCAAATATTGAATCTCTTAACAGATAAAAAGGTTCTCGTACTTTAAGCGACCCTCTATGATCAAGTTTTACAAAGACAATATTTGTATAGTGTGATGGAACTGTATAATGAATTAGATATAAATACCTACATAATTTGAGAAGTCTTATGCAGGCATTTTACATTAACATTTGCATTGTCGATCGCTATGGAAAAGAATGTTTGAAGTAGGATGATCTTGTTACTGTTGCGTTCAAATCTGGTTATTTTGTTAGGTATTTTTAGTGCAGAATAGAATAAGTTTATTTGCCAGAACACAGCAATTATGTAAGTCTAGTAAAATAAGGTAAATTGTATCATGTATTATGAATATTAGTCAACAGTAGGTATTAGGCCGTTTAACATACCTACATATCAAAGCAAAAAAGTATCAACCAGAATATTGCTGTTGGAAAGGAACATGATTAAATTTTAAAATTTTTGGGGCTTGTAGCTATTTTTCTTCACGAAAATACATAATAAAGTATTTATTTATCTCCACACAAATTATAACACTAGACAACCGACTGAAATGATGCAGAATAAATAGGCTGTAGCAAAATGGTAGAGTATTGTAAAGTTTTTCACGAAAAAAGACAACACGCTTATACCGATAATGGATCATGTTCTTGCACGTTGACACCCGTGAGATGAAACGGTGGTGTCATGAGTCATAGCAGACACTGACTTAATAGATATCGATACTAATAAGTCATCGGGGTCTTACCATGCACTCTTATTACTGTTCAGTATAGGTTCACCACAAAAAGCAGGTTGGTGATATACACTTCATGCAGTGCTGTCTCACAATCTTCATTTTAGATCCTAAACTGAATCGTAATAAGAGTTCGTGGTAAGGTCCCAGAACGGGGTTAATTAAAAAGTGTAAAACTGAAATAAATTCTCTGATCAGTTCGACGACTACTAGGTTCAATTAACATTGCCGCCGAAAGGAATCGAAACGAATTTTTGTTACCATAGTATAATGAATGTTTTGTCAATTGTTTAACTTAGAAACTAGATACGAGCCGAACAACAGGTCGCGCGTCTTCTCAATGATTTCTCGCGCAGTCTTGAGTATTCCCGCAGCTACCGTATAGTATCTAGTTTGTACGGTACATAGTTGATATAATTTCGTTACAAAATTAGCTTTAATTCCGTTCCGCGGTTTGAGGAGTGCTAGTACACATATATCAACTTGGTTATTTACATAACACCAATGAAGAATAAATATTTTGCTGCAATCGATTTACATAGCGATATTGTCCCGTGGCACGCCCGTATATATAGTTCTAAGATCTTTTGAAAAATATTTATTTTCTGTAAATCACAATTTTTTTACAATGTCAATCGAGTTACAAATTCACGATACAAAAGCTGAGTGTAAATATTTGAACTAGTTCTGTGCTCCCTTTGAACACAAGTGAAAATTTTTAAGACACAAATCTTATCTTTAAATTGGCACTATAGTATTCCATGTAGCACCTCAACCACATTCACAAAATATATAAATATTTACTATTACGTTTACATAAATAGTTTATCCAGTTAATTTTATGTTACAAGAGGTAATGTATCATATTTACTGGTGCTCTGTCCCTGTGGAACTCTTGGTACCACAGTTTCTTCTTCCGCAAAGCAGTGCGTACTGCCTTGTTCTCAATACAAGAGCGAAGAACGCCAGTGCAACTACAGGCTCAGAAGCCTTAAGATCTCATGTCATTTGGCTGGTAATACATTTGCTATGTTATGGTTACCTCCTCTGTATTGTAAATATCTACAAGCGGCGCGGAGGTTACAATTCCATTAGATGGATCGTTTGACTGTTTGCCAGTTTGAATATACGTATAAATATAAAACCAGTAAGTACAACAGAAATGTTTACAAAATTACTCATAAAACGTAAATAAAACATACCCAACTAAGACATAACGAAATTATATTTTATTGTCCATGGGAATGTCCAAAATCAACTTGAAATAAACTGTATCACAAAAACATTAAATTATTTATTTCCAATGATTTTTCCATTTTATTCTATATTGTAATGAAGCTTTTTCGCCAAAATTTAATATAAAATATCTTTAAAAAATTAACTAGCCAGTACATGTGCCTGTGCATTGAACACATTTTGCCAGTCTAGCTGGGATCAAAAATGTTTGAGACCCTAAAATGAGTACACGTTCTTATAAGGTGTTATATCACGATCCTGTTTTCATAATATATATATATTGTAGTTAAAAAATAATTTGGTGTAAAGGTGTGCTGACACCGGGTCGATTGCACCTTCGGCAGACTACCAGGTCGCAGCATACGTAACGTGATTTACTGTTAATATCGTTACAGATTATACGCGACGGGAACGGGACGGGACTTGAAAAATATGATCGTCGACGTAATTTAATTTTGTATACTGCGACCTTACTTCGGCTTGTCGAAGGAGGAGTCGACGCGCTGTTTACACCGAGTCGACTGCCGCCTTCGCTGCTATCACCAATTCGAAATCGCCACGCAATTGCAGTCCTCACGCACGTACTTTATGCACACAACAAATCGTTCAAAACATTCAACAATATGTAGGGCTAGCACGTCAAAGGGTGACTTTCGAGAGAGCGCTTTAGAAGAGTATCGCTATTGCGAGAATAGCAGTATCTCGCGCTATGCCACTCTAGCGCAAGTCGTGCTAGCCCTACTGCTCAAGTACGTGTCTACGACCCAAGCACGCACAACGCGGCGGGACGCGGCCGCGTTTGAAACCTATCCGGTCGAATGTCTTGCTTGAAAGCGATCGAGTCGCTTGACAGTGTTTACACCTAAAGGACTCGGTCGACTTCGGCAGCGAACAACAGCCGACAAACGACTCGGTGTTTACACCCGGTAGCTTGATGGTGGGTAAGCAGAGGCGTGCTGTCAACCAGGTGTAAATAGGCAATAAGAGTTTAATTTGCGGTATTGTGCCACGTAATACGTTTGAGTTTATTTATTTATTTATATAGAATCAGCATTTTTTTTAACTGTTTTAATTGTTTTTTTTATTGTACAATTCTAAACATCATAAACGGTGATATTGACTGCGCCGATTTATTGGGTGATATTTCGGTAATATACCTATGTGTTTTATGAGACACTACTGCCCTGTTGCAATTTTCTTAGCGAAAATCAATTAGACAAAATAGTTTTCTTTGTAGTACTAGCAAGTTTGGACAGTGTGCTGAGTAATTATAATCTGGATGTTGACATATCCAATTGTAATGCGAGTGCATTAAAGCGTAAACTTACAGACATTTTATTTTATTTTATTAAATAATTTATGGCTCTAGTGACGCAGATATTGGGTTGCTTTTTTATGCGAGTGCTTGTTGTGTGCGCGTTTTATGGTTTGTTCTAAATTTGTGTACTCGTGTTTGATTTGTATGACTTTTGGGTGTAAGTTTTTATCCTTTTTTTATGGATATTTTGATTGATGAAGCTGTTGATTTTCCTTGAATACACAAATAAGTAAATAAATCGCTTCTCAGACTCAATCATATTGTTTTTATATTGCCGCATATTAACACTTTACATAAATATCGTAGTGGCGACGTATCTGTAAAAACCTTTGTATGAAAAAAGGATCGCGACGTACTACCATAAATTAACATCTGCAATGCCTCAAACTCACTAACCGTCTTCAGAGAATTCGGTTTGAAGTAATTATAGAAACTACATTATTATACGTATGCATTTAATATTTTGGATAAATATAGGAAAGACTGCGAGAAAGACTGTAGGTAAAAAGACAACACATACACGAGTTTGAAACATTGCCAATAACAAGTTTTAACAATAAAACTGTACCTAAGTTAGACAAATATGTCTGAAAATTCTTTATAAGGACCAATACCTTCTCCTTAAAAATACCGTTAACAATAAAATACTTAAAATTCTAAGATCACGTGTCTGCCGGTCTTTCTGTGTCATGATGGTTGGCGTCCAATTCTTCTAGAGTATCTGAGGATGAGTGAGTTAAATCACTCAGTTCGTCAATTTGTTTTTGCTTCTTTCGCACGTTCCAATGAAGACATTCGGCAAGGGAATCGAACCAATCTGAGATTTGGTCTTGCGCGCATATTGAAGGCACTGGGTAGACTGACGTCGTCACGTATAGACTGAAAATGTAAAATGGTTTTCATACATATATCACATATATCATACATATATACAATACATCATTCAGAATATAAATGTTGAAAAGTTAGATCTGAACCCTTTCCCCGTTGCAGTTTTGAAGAACTTGTTTCTCTAACGGACAACATGAACATTAAAAGCGGTTACACACGACAACTTTTACAAGCGATGCAGTAGCGATGCAGTCGCTAATCGTCTACCTTACACACGCGCGCGATTTTAATCAGTGATGCAAGCGCGCGACTGCATCGATAGAAACGCGCGATTCCATCGCTACACTTGGGATTCATATCATGGGTTTGTATCGACGCAGTCGCGCGTTTGCATCGATGCAATTGCCAATAATAATAATAATAATATAATAATAATAATAATAACGCACACACTCAACATAGCCCCGCACTAGGGAATCCCTGTGTCGCGGGTGTCATGGCCACACACATAAACAACCACAAATTACATATTTTTATTATTATTATTATATATACAAATATTTCTCCCGGCCCGGGAATTGAACCTGGGACCTCTGCGTCGCAGTCCACAGGCATGATAACCGTTCGGCCACGGAGGCAGTTAATAAATCGCAAGTGTAGCGTTTCACGAGCGTGCGTTTGCATCGCTGCTAAAAGTCACCGTGTGTAACCACTCTAAGAACAAATGTTAACTGGACTTGTCGGTCTAAATAATACTTCCCTATTTGGGTGACATTTTGGTCATTCCACGTAACAATACAACCAAAATATATTTGGGGTAAATAATGTTGTTAGCCACCTACTATAATTCCGCAGGGTTAGAAAAACGTTCAATTTATTAGTACATTAATAACAAAAGCCAAGCGAAGCAGAAAGCACCAACCATGTAAAGTTAGTAATTAAAAAAAAAACAATCTATTGCTACGATTTTGTCACTACATAAAACAAAACTACAAACACAAAAACACTGTCAGAGGTAATTAAATTCTAGAGATGGCCTAGCGTAGTCTAGAGTGAACCAGTGTACCCTGATCTATTGCCATGTTTACCTATCGCCTGGCTTGAGTATCATCTGAGAGCGGCCATCGAAGGAGATGCTGGCAACGTTACGCGCCTCTAGGCTAGGTATTATCTGAAACAAGCTTGCTTAATTCAGATATTCGTAAAGCACAATTTCTTGCATTGACTTCCGTAGGTAACAACTATTGAGCAGTTTCGATACAAAATACTACAGTGTGTTGCCAGTATTATCAATTTTTATAAAATGTTATTTTTTATAGTTTATAAGGCCTAGTTCATATCTAAGACTAGCAGGGTTAACTTTGTTACGAGTTAATACGTTTTAAAATTAAAAGAATAAATACTACTACTAACTTAACAATTACGCTAACTATAAATTACAAAAAGTCAATGAAAATTAGGCGCCACATGCGATGCTACAAGCGTTCTACAGCGTTGCGGGTGCGTCAATACAATGCAGTATTGTTTATCCCTTAGGATTCAGTACCTATCGCCGTGTGATAACGCCTGTCGACTCCTGCCGTCGAATGACACCCACATGGCGTTTCGTGCTTCCGGCGATAATGCGATCTAAAATGTCATATTATTTGTAGTGTTTGGATTAGTCAATCACCTATAAGAGCGGTGGAAGCCCAATGGGCAAACTGTTGTTTCTTCTATAATTTGTGAAGTTGCAATACGAGAGGTATTACTAACAGAGAAAGCAAACATCGTGATAAAGCTAGTGATGCAAAACACTAAGTCTTTTAAGGCCTATTAACAAGACTGGACTCCATTTTACGAGACTAGACTCCAAAATTAAGTCCGGAGGCTCGAGTTTTCATTAAAAGACTCAATTATACTAACAGACTCGACGACTCCAGATGTTTTAAAAAAAATACTCGCGTCTTGGTCGTGCATTATATTAGACAACAGCTCAAGCTTTTAGGCTAATACACAATGGAGTTACACTTCTTTTGTTTTATTATAAATAAAGTGAAATGAGTTAGACATCAACTCATATTAGTCTTCCTTCAGTTTTTGTCTTATGACTCAAGACTTAAAGGTTAAAAGAATAGTCTAGTCTAGTCGTGAGGCGTTAAAAATAAGTCGAGTTTTTTTAAATAGGCCTTAACAGATGGGAGTCTCTATCATCACTAGATGAAATCTGCACGTAGAAGATGGTTCACAGTCTGCGGAAAATGTATGAAGTCTCCAACCCGGACCGGGCTAGCGTGTAGTACTACGGCCTAAACCTTCTCCTTAGAGAAGACGTGTGCCCAGCTGTGGGACGAATAATGGGTTGAAGATGATGATTCACTTATAGAGTCAAACTCCAGGTTTTGCTATAAAAACAGTCTGAATTATAGTATTTCATTACATGAAATATGGGTACGCCGTTGTCATTCGGTTGACGAAGAGAACCACAGCAAATCTATAGTGTAATAAGACAAATATAGGTAAGTCCCGCCTGTTCGGCGTGTCAATGTTCCTTATATTTCACTAGGAAAGTAGGGTTGTCATATTATTATAGTTGTACAACCTACACGTTGTAAGATGGGTGTAAGTGTAATTTTAAAAAATTAATGTGTTCATCACAACATTGTCTGATATATTAAAATAATCTTTGATAAATGCAGTACTTACGTACTGATATTATAATGCCAACATAGCGGATTGCTATCTGGATTATAGGAGTATGATTACGAAATATAAATAAAATGCGGAATAATTCTGAATTTGAGTCACTCTTGTTTAAACCACCAATAAACATGTCTAGTGACACTGAGCGAACAAACTCATCAATTCTATATTGAATGGCGAGTGAGATTATGCGAACGTCTGCGTCCGTGCATTGCGCTCGGCGGCCACGCACACATACAAGTCGCCCTGCTAAATTTGTATGAAGTTACTTTACTTGTTTTATTTTACTATGGCAAATCCATCCTGTGCTTATTCTAGAAAGCGATCAAAGAGTAAATATGGATCACGGGTAGTAGCGTCTCCTATATTAATAATAACGCGCACACTAACTAATCCCGCACTAGAGAAACCCGGTATAGCTAGTGCCATGGATACACACATAGACAACCATAGTGTTTACACCCAAACTCACGAGAAAAATAAATGTAGGCCATAAAATGGAGACAATGGTGAGATATCAAGTCGATGTCTTCGAAATATACGTGAATGTGTTGCTTGTTCGATATATTGAGTCATCAAACACTCTTGTTTGCTGTTTGTTCGGAATGGATTGGAACAGACTTTACATTCTTTCCAGAATTGGTTACCTACGAGACAGGCTTTGCCTAGTGTAGGAGCCAGTGTAACCGGTTTAGATAAAGTTTAAAAGTACATGTCTTAAACATACGTATTCCATAAGGTGTAATATGTTCCTGTTCCTGTTATTGGTAACTGAACTGTATTTATTTTTATGTACAAATAAATAAATTACTTACTAAATAAATTACTTACTTACTTAAAAAAATATTTCTTCCGGCACGGGAATCGAACCCGGGATCTCAGCGTTCCGTTCGGCCACGGAGGCAGTTAATATTGAAGTTACCATGATCGCCACTTTATTCAACTTGGAAGGTAAATCCTCGTGTTTGGAAACGCGTCTCGAATATGAAGGTATATTAAAAAACAAATCAAACTTGGCGCCGATAAATCTGTGAACGGAATTAGTACGGTAGGAGTGGTCATAGAAAATTCTAGAGAGGTTGTGGAAGCGTACTTTGAGCTCAACGCCGGCAGGTACAACGATGGGTCTGAAGGACAATGAGTGGGGGCAGATTGGTGTGACCATGATAGCTGGCACTGATGGGTGAATCATGCTGGCGCCGGCAGCTACTGCATACGCCGTGCTACCCGTGGGAGTGGACACTATTAAGCCTGCAAATGAAAAGCAATACTAAAATAGCTGTATAGAAAACGCATAACATTTATTTGGGTAATAATGACTGGGCGAAGGAACGTAAAAAATTTCAATTTCATTGCATGTACTTTAAAATAAATAACAGGTTCTTTTTATAGTTTGTCTGAAACCAGTTTCAATTTAATTTTTTCAATGACAATATTGATAAAAATAACAGCTTTAATAAACTGAATGTTAAATATTTATTGGCATAATAAACGAATGCAATGGTGTCATAAAAAAATCAATTGAAGGTCTTTTTATTCTGTACTCACCGTCGCCCTGTACAGATGTAATATGTTTTCCATCAAGGAACAAATCAATATTGGATAGATACGGCGATGGTCCTCGATCTACAACTACTTCGTTTAGAACTAGGATCGTGGTGGGCTTCTTTTTGTCATTGTTTTCGTCTATACTCTTCCTTAACACTACACATTGTAACCGAGACCTTAACGTTAATGCTGCGTGACCTGAAAAGTACAAAAAAATAATAACAATATTTGAAACGAGGACTTACGTTTGAATTGTAGCAGTATTTTTATGAACTAGTTTTTTTGTAACGACAACACTAATAAAGTTAAAAGTCACTACTATTATAATGTTATAATGTATGTGTCGCAGTCGTATTGTATAAAGCGCTGTATTACATTACGGCTAGCCGGTTTGCAAAACGGCGCTGTTTTCTAATACGGCTACCTCATGTTTAGCCGGATTGTGATCACGGTACGTTCTACGAAGCTACGGCCAACGTCTGACCGTATTGTTCACAGGGAAAATGTCACCCTGACTACGAATTATACATAGATCAAATCTTGGTTACGCCCTCTATTCAGTAGGTTAGGTTAGTACATGAAAAAGCAGACCAGAACTGAATTTGTTTGCGTTACTTTTGTTCACCATTGTTCGCTAATTTCACGCATATTTTTGCTTTTTCCACTGCTAAAAGTGATGTTCTAAACTCCTTTGTTAAAACCATCGACATCATAACCTAATAGACGCCTAATGTCTTAATTTCTTCAAACAAACAAATGTGTCAAAGAGCTGAGGTGCGCGGGCGCGGGGAGCGGTTGGGATTGCAAACTGATTGGCCTTTTCAAGGTCGCGTTATGTCATAAATCACGAATAGGGATGGGAATGGTTTTTACTTGTAATAAATATGGGTACTTACACTAAAAGATACGACAAAAGAAAACACCGAGTATTTCTCTCAAAATTACGTTGTAATAAAAAAATGTACGTAGATTAATTTCAAATTATTTATCGGGTTCTTAGGTTTTCGCGATTGTTACTCATAGGAAATGAAACTATTTTTCCGGATTTAAATCGCATATATTTGTTTTTTCAAACTAACCGACGTTTCGGGCCCTTTACAGGTCCCATGGTCACGGTTGACTGAGGTGGTACAGTCTTCAACCAGTTATGTCTAATATTGATGCAAACCACCCTATTTTTTCACTATAGTTACAATAGTTATTAATTAAATACCTTATTTTTAATTTTACAAAGAAAACATTCCAATTTACGTTACATTAAGTTTTACAAATTATTTTATTGAATGAATTTTTATTAAGTTTAATTTATTATTAATAGAAATTAGAATAAACTAAAACATATTAATTAGTACTGCAGTCTTATGTCTGTTTGGGATTTTTCATTAGAGGAAATACTGGATCCCAAACTGGTGGTACGGAGAAACCATCTTCCCTGTTGAAATTAGGATGTTTTTTAATTTCAATGGCCTCTCGCAGCATCCTGGGTAGATTCTTCTTAGATGGGTAGGGTAGACTTCTTTTGCAAGGACCTGGGGTTTGTCAAACTTCATTGAATGTGTAGGTTTATCCATGACATGCTCGCAGACTGCAGACTTGTTTACGCGACGGTGTTTGACATCAGCTATATATTCTTTGACGTGGGTACAAATATTTCGCTTTGTTTGTCCAATGTAAGAGAGACCGCACTCACAGTCAAGCTTGTAAACTCCTGCATCCTGTAAGGGGATGTTACATTTCACGGGTCTCAGGAACTGAGAAATCTTCCTCAGGGGCTTGAAATAGGTCTTGATAGATGCACGCCTGAGGACTCTTCCGATCTTGTCTGTAACACCTCTCACGTAAGGTAAGATGGCAGGTCTAAGCCGACGGGAACCAATTATCGCGTCTGGTAGCATTTACCCACTTTTCTTTTACAAGTGGATCTTTTGGAAACCTACGTAAAATAAAAAATATTACACTTATTACAAATTATTTAAAAACAAACTTCCACAGAAAATCCCAATTGTTTAATTAATAAACACTGCACTTATCATTATCAGCTTTATTTCAATTAAATTTGAAAGTTTTGTCTAATTTCTTTTTCACTACTGTTAATCTTCACTACTTTATAATTTACAAATTAAGTAGTGGTACAACACTAGGCACACGTGCCAATAATAGAAAGAAAAGACAACAACTTAATAGTTACATTTGACAGAAAGAGACGCACTGATAAAATGCATCTACGGGAGCTACTTTCGTAACGAACCATAGCCAGTCTAAGTTGAGCTTTAAATAATTTGTTTTTATAAATTATTCGATTCGATTAGTCGATGGTTAAAACAGTTGCTGTTTGGGATAGAATTTTTGTTGTTATGATAATGTAGCTCTACTGTATTTGGAGCTAAGTATCTCAAAGCAGCGTAACAATGACGCGCCCTATTGTATTCCGGCGACACCATTCTTAGCCGCTTTGTGAAACGACACGTGCTATTATAATGTGACGTACTTTTTTTAGGCGAATAGCAATCTGAATGAAAACGAGGTAGCCGTATTAGAAAACAGCGCCGTATTGCAAAGCGGAAAGCCGTTATGTAATACGCTGCTTTATAAAATACGGCAGCACATCAAGTTACACATTGACGGACCTTTTCCGTTGCACTGGAGGCGATGTTCGAACAAAAGTGTATACTTGATGTGCTGTACATAGATATCAAAGATTATTCCATAAACATTTTACGTTTGTTATGTTACCATGATTTTTGAACGACCATTGTAGTAGACAAGTCTAATAAATAAATAAATATTAGACAATTTCACATAAGTTGCTCTAATCCCAAAGTAAGTAAGTAAAGCACTTGTGTCATGGATATCGGAAACAACGACCTTACGGTAACCATAGTATAATAAGAAAGCGAGTTTAAATCCATGCAAATATATCTGTATAAATAATCTGTGTGTTGTGGCGTAGCAAAAAATCGAGTCATCCGAAGAACAGAGTCTGACGTGATTAAATAGCGAAAAGAGAACAAGTACGTTATGAGTATAATTTCGTTATTCAAACTAAGGCCTATGTAAAGGTGTTTTGAGACTTTATATATCTTACTTCGTTTTGGAAATATAAAATCGAATAACGGTCGATATGACATCCACTGTGTAGAAGAACGAACGAAATGTACTATATCCTGAGTACAAGTAGTATTGCACATAGATCTTTGTTCTACGGATTAGTCGAAATGTCTACCTTCTTACTTACGTCTGCCTTGGTTTGTTTGAAAAAACAAATATACGCGATTTAGATCCGAAAAAATAGTTTCATTTCCTATAAAATAATACTAATGTGACAACCCCATACTCCGAGAGACGTGTATGCATTGACGCGCCAAACAGGCGGGAGTTGCTCTACTTGCTTATTATACTATGTTCTAACCATACCGATATATCGAGATAATAAGAAAAGTCACACCATGGTAAGTACCTACTACCCTACCTACTACCCTAAACCTGTAGTTAGTGATAATAATATTCGCACTTTTGTATACAAAAGCACTTGGTTTGCGCATGTTTACTCGCGTTTCCTTAATGCCTTTAGGCACTTACAGGAAACTTAACGACCGCATTTTCCTTAGGACACTAATTGTACAAATATTTATTGTTATGTTTATATATTAAACACGATCTGACGCACTAGGTGGCTTTTGAGCTTAACATGAGTTTATCACGTGCTGAAGTGATCACATTTTGAATGTTTCTTTTATGATACCAAGTGGCGGGACGAACAAGTCTGCGCCTGGTGGTAAGCCACATGCCTATTCATACTGTTGCAGTGTCATTCAGAGCTTTCAATCGCAAATATCTTATGGGCATTGCCACAGCGACAAATTCACAGACAAATTACAGGCACATGGGACTTGTCAACTTAAGTCTCAGGGTGACGGGCGGAGTGGCAGTGCCCCTCTGAACTTTGCGATTTAAATCTCCTGAGTGGCACTGCAACTGTTATGGACAGGCGCTTGCAGGACTTGTTCGTCCCGTCACTTGATATTATAAAAAAAACCTTCTAAACCCGAACGCAGTAATGCTCATATTACTGCTTGGCGGCAGAAATACAAGAAGCTCTACTGTTACTAAAAATATATGCTATTAGTCACAAACAAGTTTGTTTATTAAGTGGTATCATCATTAGTGGTAATATTGGTTGACCACGAAACAATTGGGTGATAGATAAGAGTGTGATATTTATGCGTTTTGCGTTGAAAAAAACTCACGCTACATCAACCTCTGCTGTGTCACGGTCAACAATGTCATATAATGTGTGTAATACAAAACTGTAATCTAGTTAACACGTAAATAATGAATGCATGTTAAATTAAGCATAAATAGTACATTTGGAAGTACTTAGTGAATTATTTTTAAATGACTTCAAAAAAAGGAGGCGGTTCTCAATTCGACTGTATGGTTTTTTTTGTTTGTACATTACGCGATAACTTTCATTTGTGAACCGATTTTGATGATTCATTTTTGGAAAGAGGGTACCTCAGTAGGGGTCCCATTAATTAGAAAGAAAATACTCCGCCTCTAAGGGTGGCAAACTAGTGGATGAATGAATTTTGTGGTCGGTTTTTTTAATACTCTGTACTGAGATTATTTATCTTACTCCTATGTATAAACGCATGCCGTGGCAACTTGTAAGTGAAATAACACAATAACTAGAACCGCAACATTTATTGTTTTGACCGTTTTGTTTGTGTATGTTTTGAAAGTTGTCCTAAATAAATAATGTATGTTTGCTTAAAAAATCGATTTGTTATTGATGTTAATATATATAAATGTAAAGTTGACTAACATTTTCTAGGGATCAGAATTGAGAAGGTTCGCCATAGCAATAGTTTTATGTACCGAGCATAGTGTTAGTTCGTTTTGCTGAACATTATACGGGTGTTGCGTGTAATGTAGAACAACATCTTTAGGGTACTGTTGAGGCTTCCCGGCTTTTGCGGCGCCTCTGGCATGTTTGCGGATGCGTGTGTAGATGATTTTTAGGCAATCATGCGCAAGAATATTGCGTCGCAGATGTTGCGATTGCGTGGGAGCACCAATGGTATCCATGATGGATGACAGCAGGAAGAATGGACTCGGCTATTTTCCGTAGGTTCACCGTGTTACACGTGGACATACAATAATGTATTTCTAATAATAATGTGATATTGTAATTTAATTGAATGTATTGTAATTGTTATCCTAGTTTCTACTAACTTAGCTCATAAGATTGTTACTAACAAATATGGAGTAATTGTTCTGAGAATAAATGAATTGGAATTTGAATGAATTTGAATTACACAGAGTAGAAGAAAAACGCGAACCATGTTTTAAATGATATTTGGTTTATTTTGTGCCCGATAATCACATCAATTACCCACGGAAAAACTAGGTATTAGGCTAGTATCAAAGCAACGGAATTCACCCGGTACACTCAGAATTTAGAAAAGTTTATTTCCCAAATTGGTCTTACGGGGAATTAAGCCCCCTGATCCAGCGCCATCACAATCACTGGGCCAGAACAAACATCGCTATATGTTCTCATATAAATATGCACGGTCAACAGGACATGGTTAAGAGATACTGAGGGTCGTATTCTAGAACTCTACTCAATGCTCAAGTCAGGATTTGAGTAAAGTTTAAAGCACTTGATATCATACTCAAGTCCCTTGCTGTTAGGGTCGTATTTCCAGTGCTTGTGTTTCCAGTGCAATCCTGACTTGAGCATTGAATAGAGTTCTAGAATACGACCCTTAAGTTTTGTTCCACGAATTTAAAATCATATTTCTCGCTATTTCTTTACGGGTACAATCCACACTACATCTATAGATGTCTCATTTCACCGTGATCGCCTGGGGTTTAATAAGTAATCTGGCACTAACTTTTAAAATGGACGTCCATTATTCAAAATAGTCGAGGAATCGATATTCTTTCGCATTGAGAATCAGTAATGCGTCGCGAATCGATCGATTCCAAATATTAATTCATGGTTTCGCTCTCCCCGCTTGTGTATGTAACTACGCAATTAAAATTAATAACGGCAACAGCTTATGTTGCTGTCTTAGTTAATAAAAGTTATTTATCATTCGTATGATCCCTGAAAGCTGTATAAGTAATTTTTTCACTTTTAACTCTGACGTATTGGACTTTGATTAGATAATGAGACCTGGGGTTTGTGTAATGTACCTACTTTTAGGGTAGATAATCCAGCATACTAAAAGTTAAATAAAATGTACTAGACTTAGATTAGATTAGAAGACCTAGAGGATTAAGTACCACCTTCTTGGGTTTGGTGTGACTTATAATTTTAATCAAATTGTTATAATAGTCCTCTTGTAATGTTACCTTCTAATACGTTCATGACTTGATCCTGGAAGTTGTTGAACTCGAATGGTGTGAGAAACCCTAGCGAGCCCAAATGGAATGCCATCACCGGAGGAACTGATTGCTGAAATTGAATTACAAGTCGTTACAACACTTTAATTAATATGAAGGTGTTGCCATATCTACTGAAGTTTGCATTATGTTTATGAATGAAAATTTATATAGATTAAAAGTTATTACTGTTCTTGGAACGACCAGACAAAAACCAGTACGATGTGGTTTATTACACAATTCTGATATTTGTACAATAAAATTGGTTAATACGTAAATATGCATGCAATAATTCGTAAATATAACTCTCATATAGCGTTATTGTGTTATTTTGTGCATAGGTTTTTGTTAGTTTATTATTATAAATAATGAGAGGGTATTTGGGCGTAATGACACTTACATTCTGGCTACCTAGCTGAATAAGCTCCTAATGGAGTGTTTTAATTAGTTTTCACGGACCTATTAATAACCACATAATTATATCGTCGTCTTAGTGAATACCTCATACCTTTGTGAGTTCTATGTAACTTTTCAGAATGAAGATAAAAATGTGGTGTAAAATGTAGTAAACGCAACAATGTTTGTAGTTAGCATTTTAATTAGTTATACCTCTTTCAGATACTATTTACTTTTCAGAGGTACCGGCCTTGCTAATGGCGTCCGCCATAATTTTTATATTATTTTTATAAAACTACCGTATATAGTCGTTTTTACTTGACATTGGCGAAATCATCGATTATCTCGATGGGGCCATAACATTTAAAAGATGATATTATTTTTACAAAACTACCGTACATAGTTATTTTTACTTGACATTGGTGAAATCATCGATTATTTCGATGGGGCCATAATATTTAAAAGAAGAAGATATTACTTTAATAATATATTTGACTAAAAAGTTCATAAGTTTTTCTTCAACAAAAATCAGTAAAAACGAACTATGTGAAAACGCGTATGCGTAGTTTTCACTCTAAGGGGACGATATTGGGTAATATCATACGCCAAACTGGTTTGGATCGAACAAGCATATATTTCATAAACCTCAGGTATTTTTTAAGTTATTCCGAAATATTTTATTCACCTGGAAGAGCGAGCTGGCATGTAGCAACGTTCCATCTCCTCCCAAACATATAATGAAGTCGATCTTGTCCGTGAGTTCGTCTGTACCCGCGCGAAACGTCATCAGACGCTCTCTCACTGAGGAGAAGTCGCCATATTCCTTCAAATGAACGTCGTCTAGTACTGCAGCCTCTACGAACACTACCATGCTTTTCTCCTGAAAAAAAAAATGGATATATATTATTTTAATTCTTTACCATTTATAAATAATACACACTAAACTTACTCTTTGTCATTGTACAACAAATTTTTATATAAATTTTAAGGCTTTCGTGGTTATTCACTAAATGTTTATCACTAATTTCAGGTTTCTTACCACGGTATGACTTCTTTTTATTTTCCCGATATTACGGAACGGTTGCAACCTCCATGGTCACGGGCTGACTAGACGGTGGCAGATGACAGCTTTAAGAGCAGACATATCTATATCATAAGCGCAAGACGGTAGACAGATACATATGTCTGCTCTTAAAGCTGTCATCTGAAGTCGTCCAGTCAACCCGTGACCATGGAGCGTGCAACCGTTCCGAAATATCGGGAAAATAAAACGAAGTCATACCGTGGTAAGAAACCTGAAATTAGTGATAATCAACAAATTTTTAGTTTCACATTTTCTTGCTTTTTACTATATCAAACTTAAATAAATACAGAGTTTTTTAATATGGATGACGAAAATTCATCATCATTATGTGATTGATTTCTGAAGTGATGTCAGTACTATTACTTTAGTGTTGGAGTTCACGTCATATACTGACTGTAGCAATGTCAGCGGTCACTAAGAGGACTAAAATACACAAATATTTTCATGCGGATTAAGTATCAGTCTCGCTGCAGTTTCGCGACCCGGGAAAAAACCGAGACTCGATGCGATCTCGATAATTCCAGACAATATTAGAGACAACGTCAAAAGCGGTTTCTATATTTGTAGGCTAGGATATTTTAATTAAGACTTTTATTAACTCAAATCATAAAATAAAAAATTACTTGAAAGTTTCTTTTTTATTTTTATTTATACTTAAGAGATAAAGGGCATAGTTTCAAATAGAGGACCTGATTTTACTATCGTTAATTAATCTTCACAGATTACAGGTACACAGCTCAATTTTACAGTGTTGCCAAGTCCACATAACCAGAATTAAAAATTGGTCGGTTTAGTCTTAGACTATTTTTTTCCAAATCTCTAAGGATTCAGTAGATTTTTTAATATTGTATAATTGACATAAGTCGCAAAATTCCTCAGAGGATGGAAAAAAATATAAACAAAAGTCTCTATATTTATATTATTATTTATATATTATTCTATATTACCGAGACTGAAAATATCACTTTCGAATTTTGAAAATGTCAAACAACTGTGGAGACTAGAATTTCTTGGGACCCAGATTTCTTTTTTTTTTAAGTAGATTCTCGGAATGAAAGCCCTTCGAATATAATATATTGGTTACTCTACCCCACTAATATTCCATATATTATATATAACTAAAATATAATAATGACACTCATACATTATAATAAACAATACCCCTCCCGATATATACTTTCCTTCATTGCAATACAGTAGACGTGTGAATATCATTCCCCGAAGAGTTATCTGCAAAACTTCTTTCAGCAAAAAGTTCTTTTACTTTTTGGGATGATTCTTATACAACAAAAGTAATAATATTTTAGCGTCTCATCTAAAAAATAAATATGAGTGTAAGAATATGATAACTAATTGGCTTCTAAGACTGTCATATGAAGAAATAGAAAATCGCACGCACGCACGGCACGTAACTAAAGCACTTGTGTTATGGAAATCGGAAACAACGACGTTATATGATATAAGTACATTATAGATTCAGTATATGACTCTTTAAGATGCAAGGTCGGTAATATCCCCTCATTAGAAGCGAATTCGTTGATGTCTATGGTACTTCGTTTTTTATCAGGGTGATATCATTTGTTTTTGGTTCGTTTTTGTTTAATTTTGCTACATAACTGTAATATACCATCCAATAGTTAGTAAATTTTTGTGACCAATAGATGGCAATAAGATGTTGAAAAACGAAAAGATCTCGTTTTCTTGATTTGGACAGAGTCGGCTTTGTTTCTATACCCCTCATATATAGACTGATACTACTTTTATTCAGCGCAGGTGACTGAATGAAGAGCTCTTCATGTGACAAAAATTAGGTAATACAACAAATTTTGTAAGACGCGGCTAATACGGTGAGCAAAAGGCGCCTTTGATGACCGTATTAGCCGCGTCTTGCGACGAACTCGCGAAATAAAATTGTAGCAATGAAAAGTTGATTCAACTTCAGCTCTATAATTAGGCCGTAACGTACGCGAACTATAATTAGATTGGGTCCAATAACCTTTCTAGTTCGCATCTATGTTATAGATCTAGCAATTTTGTCGTAAATTTGGTGAAAGGTAAACTAGATATATTTTGACTGGAAGAAAGTTGGGAACTTTAAAGTTAAGTTAAACTGTGGCAGAATGGTTTCGTTTTAAATGCTCACTGCTATCTTCTTTTTATAAATGTATTATAAAAATAAGACATTATATTATTCGTTTATTTATTCGCTTATCGTCTATGCAAAAAGCTGTTTCAACGCCTACTTGGCGCTATCGTCGATAAGAACTAAAAAAGTTACAGCGAAGTCGTTACCGATTCGCAGAAACTACTTAACTCGAGTTTTTCAGAAACAAAGTCAAAACTGAAACTTGGAAAAATTTTGATATGCTCTCTAATATATATCTACTCACATGAACGAGCCAATGGACGAGCTGTACGAAGGGTGCAAGTATAGTGGCATCGTGCACCTTCTTTATAACCAGCACCGTCAGTGGAGGTTTGTACCAGGTCAGCCGCTGAGACGCCGGATCCTGGATTTGCCTGCAATGTATAGCGTTCTTAAATTAAAATTATCGACAGGCAATTTACATTTAATATGACTATTATAGCATTAACAACGCACACACTCATAGCCTCGCATAAGGGAAACCCTGTATCGCGGGTGCCATGGACACACATACATAAATAACCACAAATTACGTTACAGGAAGTTTGGATAACTTCGAGACAAACAAATGTACATACAAATAATTCTCTCGGCCCGAAAATCGAATCAGGGACCGTTCGACCGCGGAGGCAGTTTAACTTTAAATGGGCATGCGAGAATGATGATGAAATTTTTAGTGTTCTACTCGAAAATCAATCCTCGAAAAGCCACGTTGCATTGCACTTTAAAACAAAACGTCTTGTTTGAAAAAAAAAATTATTGTAAAATCAAATTCTTGAATAAGCGTCTTTATTCAAGTGTATAAATCAATCACGGATGTACACTTACATGTACAAAGTTGTATAATTGTTAATTTGCCTCCATGATACCTGGCGTTTTTATAACCTTGATTTAAAGATACTTTTGAAGTAGGTACTTGTTAACGTAATGACAAGGCTGTGGCAGTGCAAATTGCTTAGTCACGATGATAAAGACCTAAATTTAAAAAAAATATGCTGATGTTCATATTTTATACAGGGTGTAACGTTACACCCTGTATATTATATTCTATTGAGAAAATAGGAAAAAATATATGGTATAACATGTTATATCATATGTGCATGCATCAAAAATAAAGCAGTGCTTTTTAAAAGTCTGGCTGGATATCACACTTTTATTTTAGGTCTAATTTGAAAATAAAAAATTTGTCATTCGTTTGTTTTTTATTTCCTACTAATACGGGTCTGTCGAGTGGTTTTTTAATTGATTAAACTTTGGTCTAATCAATTCATGCTGTTATAATATTTAGCCATTTCTGGTTTGTCACAAAATGGAAAATAATGCATTTTGTTTAATTTTTTTTTTCTACAAAGTCGATATTAAAAATGTTAAATTGTTAATTCAATTGCTACCTTATGTTTAATTCTTATTTATTTAAATATAAACGCAACAATTTTAAGTTCTCACTTTTATTTTTGTTCTTATAAAAGTCGGTGAGTGTATTCACATTATAATAGTTAGCCTGCCCTCCACCTCGAGTTCAGGTCACGTCATCATGAATGATAGTGATATTGAGAATGGTTGAGTATTTAATTAAATATATATTTATGTATGTATTTATTGGCTACTTACTACTGAAGTTTTGAAAAAGCTCTTCAATAAAAGCCTATTTAGTAACATTAAGCACGCAATATAGTAAATAAAGCGAAAGACTGTATAATTTTAGATGACGATTGGGACCTTATTTAAAATTAGCAGCTATAAATAATTAGTATTCTGACAAACCTTAGTGCAGTTGTTGGAAAAGATAATTAGGTAAACGGGTTGTTCACAAGAACATATTAAATACTTACATAACCATGGCGGAGTTCTTCATTATTCTGCCGCATGGTCCGAATTGTTGTATGGGGCTTGGGGCATTGAGGGATCTGGTCCTTCTGGAAGCAATAAAAGAAAATAATCAATTACTTTCATCCAAACAGCAAAGACTGGTAGCATTAAATCATGTTATAAGTCAAGTAAAAAATTTGTTTCGTGGGTGAATGAACTTTAAAAAGTACATCAGATAAAACGTTCAAATATCAAAAACAGTAACATCTTTGTTCTTTGGATTACCAACGTAATCAAATGTACGCAAGCGGAATAAGTGTATATCTAGAAGTTGTCCGTATTTACTGCCAGAGTCAACAGAATTTAATGTATAATGTTGGAAAGGTAACCTGACCGAATGTAACCGTTGCGACGTCTATAACCGTCTATATTGTCAAAAGACAGTCACGATTTGCTACCGTGCGTTTATACCTACGCACATAACATAATTATGCGCATGAATTTTTATACGGGAGGCTACTTACTGGTACAGTCAAGAGCACATCAAGTTTGACACTTTGTACTTTGGACCGTTCTTATCGTAAGCGGCATAGAGTTGGATTTAAGTCTTAAGTAACCTTGACGTGCTCTTGACCCTGTATTTCAAAAAACAAAATTCGAAATTTAAAGCAAAAGATATATACATAAACAAATTGGATCCTGGTAAGCAATATCGTGTCAACCAACATGATCATAGTTTGATGTTTCACCTAAAGATTTTTTCGTTGTTTTTGATAGTTTGTTCTAAAATTTGTGAAATGAAAACTTTTGCTGTTGTCACCTCAGGAATGATCAATTATTGTGATAAATTATTATAATTCCCTAACAATAACAAACACAACTTTTGTAGTTGTCATTTTATAAATAAATTTTAGAAGAAACTATCAAAAACAACGAAAAATTCTTTATGCTGCCATTTTCGCAAAACTATAATATTCATGTTGGTTGTTGACGTTATTGCTTATCAGCATTCAATTATTTTTCATCTGTAAGCAAAAATATCATTGTTAGTCGATTTTCTGTCGAGATTTTCATTACCGACAGTTTAGCTCGACACTATGGTGAACATCCTACTAGTTTCAAGGTCTCGACAGTATCTAGAGTACCTATAGACGAGTATCGATGGATTAAATATTGGTTCACAACACTACATAGGTAGTGTGTAGTAGTAGCCTTATGAAACTAAGATTCTGCCCAAGTAGTGCTAGTTGTATGTGCTATAATGTATGCAAGAAGTTTGGACATCAGACAAAAGTTCTGTTTGCGCGCTAAACAAAAAACCACAGCACCGAGGATTTTACGAAAATTTTATCCTTTAGTGAGTCAATTTTTATTTGAGAATATTGTTCTTGAAGAACTTTAGAACTAAACACTCTGTATATCAATTTACACAATTATATATACAGAAACTTTAGAATTAACCCGATGACTTTGCTAATGAAAAAATAGAGTATGACGCACTTTACTCACACTGCATTTCCGATTTGAGGTAATATTTTAATTTTTTAAATTGTTTTTATTAAAAAATAAATGAGCATTTGACTTCCAATCTCACCTGATGGAAAGTGACGATGGAGCATGCACACCTAAATAACGCCTATTCACAAGGTACCTATTGAATTTGTTATCGTTTTTTTACTAGAATTAACTCATCGGTGATGTCATTTTCCTTATTAAGGGACAAAAATGTTTAAATAATTAAATAATTCATAATAGTTTTATCCACTCCTTATACTTACTTACGAAGTTGCCGTATGTATTCTTTTCTATAGTGTTTCAAATTTGTTTTACATGTGTTTACATGTCACGTAGGTATGTTGTAGGAAGATTCGCAACAAAAAACAAAACAGGTACCTTTTTTATAAGTATACTATTGTTGCTCTTCAACTCTGAAGGTGAATACTAAAAGTGTTTGTTTTTATGATAGTATTTACTCAATTCTACTATATCCAGTATTACAATACTAAATGGAAAGCATTCTTTTAGTTTGATTTTATGTTAGTTTCTTTACGGTCTTCAACTGGAACATGTTTAATAATGTACATTAGTTTATACGATATATTGGACGTATTAGGCATTACGATTTATATAATGTGACTAAAATCGGGAAAAAACTAATACAGAACTTTGACTTTTAATTACTTGGAGTTGTTAAACGCAACGTTGCAACGTTTGTGTAAGTTTGTGTTTTTTTTTCTATCGTGAAAATTTTTAGGAATCGTGTTTTCACGCCATGTAGTAATAATCAGTGTATGTCCTCAATTTTACTATATATTTTTTCCAAAGTAATTCATTTAACGCTTTCACTGTTATCCGGAATCAACCAAAGCCATTAGAGGATGCATAGACTCTTAACAGTATTAGCAGCACTATAATATGACAAAAGGTGGTATTGTAAATATACATGCCGTCAATAACCACTTCATCAAAATGCTGATTGTAACGTAGATAACTGTAGAGCTAAGATAGCAAACAGTGCTAGGATTATGTCACTTCTTCATAAATCAATATTTATAATTGCTTCCGTGCCCAAACGGTTACCATGATGGACTGCAACGCAGAGATTCCGGGTTCGATTCCCGGGGCGGGAAAAATATTTGCATGGACTACATTTATTTCTCTCGTGGGTTTGGATGTAACTTGTGGTTCTCTATTTGTGTGTCCATGGCACTCGCGATACAGGATATTGCGAGACTATGAGTGTGTGTAAAAAATAATTGAAAAATATTTCACAAATATATGAATGATTGATTTGAAAAGCCGTTGAACAAATCTCCATTTAAGGTTGAACAGATTGTTAATTAAAGACACAATGGGTAACGAAAACAATAACAAAAAAAAACAAATCAGAGTGTAATCTCGGGACACACATAAAAACTACTGGCTTTAAAGATGTTGGAGGTAATATCTCGATTATTTTTTTAATGTAGCAACATACCTTCTATCGAAAAATTGAGAGTCCGAATCATGTGTAGACCTCCCAGTATCGTGAGAGAATTGTCTTCGCAACATTTTCCGTAAAGTTGACACACAATATTATTATGTTAAATTTCATTACACATAATGCGAAACAATGTCGAATTTTAAGTCCAAACTGACACTCTAAGTTAACTCAAACGATGTATGACATAAAATCTCAATGGTTTCTTGTACGAACTCATGAACATAATTTCATAATAAACAAAATCAACTAATCAAATACCGATTTGTATTCCTAAAGAATAACGTCATTTAAAAAAATCTAATTTAGGTGAGGTTACAATACAAAAACTTCAACACTGTTTGCACTAAATGTTATCTATTAAATAATAAACTGTAATGTAAACAACCTGGCGGTTAGAACGGAACAGTAGAGGTTACGGTCGTTTGGAGAAGCGCGCGCGACGGCGACTGGCGCGTGAGGAACCCTCCTCTCCACTCGATTGAATGACAGCTGTGTCCTTGGAGAACTAGCATTATCGTCATTTGCAAGTGAACTAATCGCTTCAACCGGTTTCTTCAAAGATTTTATCGTCTGTTTCTTGCAGAACAAAATTTCCCCTTGACTGTTTACAACAAAAACTTGCACAACCGCAGGATGCACCAAAGCAATCAAAATGATAAAATGAAAAACGGACCAAAACAGATGTCCTTAAAATAACGCATCAGAATGAATAGCCAAAAAGGCAATATTTGGGAATACCTGAAGGTGGACAATCACATTACAGATAACACTGGTTAATCTTTTTATTTTACAGCCAAAATCACAGTAGTTTGATTAGCCGTCTCGGATTTCGTTCAGTACTATTCAAGAGCGTGCCGTTGGACTCGGCATTGGCCGGCTTGAGCTGCGAACTGCAACGCTTGACAGACTTCACATTACCCTCAAAGAAAAGCTTTTTGTCAATTTTAAACAAAGCCAGGAAATTGAGAACACCTTTGTCTATCTAACCTAAAATGGAATGCAAGCAATAGCTGATTTTGATACTTGTGATAAGAACTTGATAGCTATGATAACATTTTGCCAAGCAATGCTTGCTTCTTTTGTGAAAATGAACTTTATCACCAGGTAGGGAAACGTCGGGTGTAAAAGTTACGGTGGGCAAAAAGAGTATTTCAATATACTGTGTGTTAAAGCCAAAGTAAGAAACCCTGATTACGAGTACTCCCTCCGCAAGCAAATAAGCATTCCCCGGGGAGCAGCACGAGTTCGCCAAGTACACTGGATCCTCTATAAGCTTCTGCGTTTAAAAAAGGTGAGTGCGCTGTGTTTTTTGATTTATGTAAAGTTTACTGTACATTAATGCATACCATGATAACGCTTAGTCTGCGTGCTATCTGATACACAGAGTGCATTAACTAACAAAATGCTTAATTTTATTAATATTCTCGGCGTGGGCTTAGATTGGGAGGTGCAAGGCGAAACGGGTAGGTATACGGGCAAAACCCTTTTTCCCCCCGCTTGTTATTTTGTATGAATACATGGCTTTAATTTAATGTATTTATTACAGATGGTGTTTATTAATGAAAAACTCAGAGTGCTTTTTGGTATACATATTCTCTACTGCATAAAGTAGGCATTTCTTCTACCAAAAGAGACGCTCGGCGCATACTGTTACTTTGCTTCTCAATAGTAATAGGGGTTAAAGTATGAAATTGCCGATTTGCACTGAAAATCTAAATTGTTTATTTTTTAAATTTTTAACAAATTTATTTAATCAAAATAGTTGCCATTATTATCTATACATTGCTGCCATCTAATGGGAAGGTTATTAATGTCTTTGCGATAGAACTCCGACGATCTAGACTGCACAAACTGTGTGAAAGCATTTTGTACTGCCTCCTGGGAAGAAAACTTCTTGTCACGTAGATAATTGTCCAAATCACGAAAAAAATGGTAGTCCGTTGGAGCAAGGTCTGGTGAATACGGAGGATGACGAATGGTTTCTAACTGCAGTTCCTGAAGGGTCAAAATGGTTTCTCGTGCTGTGTGAGGTCTCGCGTTGTCGTGGAGCAATAATGGTGAAGATCGATTCATGAGTCGGGGCTGTTTTACTGCTAGTTTTGTCAACATGATTCGGAGTTCGGC